AAAAAAAAAATATTCTAAGTGAGTATATGATACACAAAATATTTTAAGAAGTTTGTAGTGTGTCTACCACTACAAAAATACTATTCCAATTTACTAGAATATAAGACGTGTTAACTCAATTCTATGTCAGGATACCTTTTCATGGATGAAGGTTGTTTAAAATTTTGTTTCATTGTTTTGGTATAGATGGTGCTATTTACGCTGTTGGAGGTTATGACGGTATCAATTATGTGTCTTCGGTGGAAAGGTTGGACCCAAGAGTAAGAATGTCTTTGCTATTATTTATTTAAATGACTTTATTGAAATTTAAACCAATACATAAATGCTTCCAATTTCAACACACATTTCTAAATTTGAAAATATATCAAAGTTCGTAGAATAAGCAGATATTATAAGTATAGTAACTAAGTGCTATCGTTCCAAAGATCATTTCACAGAGAAGTAAACATTCAGTTTTACTTAAAAAAATTTAATTACTAAAAAACTGTCATTTAGTAGAAGTTGTATGCACGTCACGTTCTTTTCCAAACCTTTCTCAAGAAATCTATAGTTCATATATATATATAAACAATTTTCAATTATTATTCTAGTGGAAATTTATCACATCTAGTTTTGAAATAAATATTTTTGGCAATAAAAAATAAACAAAAAAAAATCGCTATGCTACAATAATACAAAAGTATTTCTCAAAACTTTAAGTAAATAATTGATGATTAAAAAAAAAAAACATTTAAAAAAATAAGAACGATAATATTAGTATTTTCTTCGGAAGTTGAAAAAAATTCTTTTAGATCAAAAATTTGCTGCTGCTTAATTAAACATAAATCTAATTAAGTAGTTTAATGAATAAGAAATTATACAATTCTAAATTTATGTTACATATATTTCAAATAAGATTTTCAATTAGAAACTTTAAAAAAAAAAAAATCAAAAGCTGTAATTAGGCGATATTTTTCCTTTTTAAAAAATGTTTATTATTAAATCAATAGCATTTCGTAGTTTTTTTTTTTAAATATATTCATAAAGTTAAAAATATTGAATTTAAAATGGGCTTTTAATGAAATATTGCATGTTTATTTAGGTGATGTATTAATAAAAGAATTCACTTAAAATTATTGCAATTAAAGTTAAATACATCAGACTGCTTATTGTATGTAACTTATTTACATTGCAGCTCGTATATTTCATACATTATGTCTTAATTCATCTTAAAAAATAACCAGTTTTATTTACCTTAATAATTTTTTTCGTTTGTAATTTCTTGTTTCTTTTATTGTGCGACCATTCACCAAATTTCTTTGAACGCACTTAGTATTCATTAAAGTTATCTTACATGGCATCTACAAGTTAGGGTGGTGGAGAAAATCCTTAGAACAATTACGCGGTTAATTAGAGGAAATTTAAATGGAAAGTTGTTTCAAAATTAGCTACGATTTATGTGATTAAAGATTATACAACCAAAAAGATTAAAATGAAATTTAGGAATAAATCTTGAAAGCCATTCTCTTTATTATTCATTTTTAAATAAACTAAATCAAGAATTAATTTAATGATACAATAATAAAGACCATGACTGACTGGTTTCAAAATAATTTTTTTGTGTGTGGAAAGAACGGAATATCTATTGTGTAAGCTATAAAATTTACAATAATTAGTTACAAAAGTTGACAACAGGTGGCACTGCAGTAAAGAATTCCTAAAGAGATGACAAGTACCATGAAACTGTAATATTCTAATATTAGTCACACTTTATTCAATAGAATACACGTTTTAAATCTTCTAATCCTGTACGACAAACTACTTTTACGTATTAATGCTAGAACTGATCGCCCTGTTCACTACTGGCTTGCAGCGTCATCTGCAAACAACCTTGGTAACTAAATCTTAAAATATTTTAGATTTCTCCATCGCTCTTTGATTTTGAGATTTTTAATTTTGAAATAAATAAGGTCATTATTTTTTGAATGAAAGTTTGTATTTTAGATGCATTGATTTAAGACTTGTTTAATACTAGTTGTTTATACACTTGTTAAGACTAATGGTGTGTTGTGTTGTGCACAGGAGGGTAAATGGCAGCAGATGCCCCACATGATCAACAGGCGGAGCAGTTGTGGAGTGGCTGCCCTGGATGGCATGCTGTATGTAGTTGGGGGTAACGACGGCAGCCTCTGCATGTGCAGCGTCGAGAGATTTGATCCAGTGAAAGGAGCTTGGGAGGCCATGGCATCTATGCACACTAGAAGGTAAACTTCCTTTCTCTCTCACTCCACAAACTTGATGGGACAAATATACTTAGTAACATATAGTTCGTCTACGGTACGAACTCCCCCCCCGCCACAAAGTATGCTGCTATGGAAACAAGAATATCGCATTTCAGAGAGGGTAGCTTCTCTTCACAATAGATCATAAAAAAGATTACCTTTCTTTCGACGACCAGAGCCAAAACTTTTCCTAAACAGTGACTTGAAATAGTTATGACTCGTTACCATAGTCACTGTCACCGGTCCAGAGGACTGGCTAGGGGAGTTCTTACTTAAGACAAACTATAGTAATCTTTGAGCAGAACCACCCTAGCTCAGGGTCCTCCCAATGGGATGACGATGGCTGGTGGAAAAGAATCCTGCTACCAGGTGACCACGATACAATCTTAAAATATCCAGTGTTACATTATGGGTTGCCTTAGGGTAGGGCTAACCATGGGAGATTTTCTTCAGCATCTAACAGCGATGCAGGTTAGTTCCAACGAAACGTTCTCCCCAGAAGCTATAGCTTCTGTTGTCAAACTATAAGCATTAAGTTTGACAATGCACTGTCAATAAACAGCATCAAGTATTGGGGCAAACTATAATTTGCCCCAATATTTGATCCCCTGTTTGCTGGGTTGAACTCAAAACATGGCTACGGAGTTCGATATTGATTATTGTAAACTTAAAATTGGAGCAGCTGTTCAATGTCAATAAAATAAAATAGTTGCCTTCATTTCCTAAAAAGACAACTAAATGAAACTTAAGCAACTAAATTAATTGACTTAACTGGTCAAATCTTAAACCATGAGAAACTTCAAAAATCATGATTAATTCTTTTCAAGAAAATTCACTCATTTTCCAAAACACTTACTTTTTGCAGCTTGTTCTTAGTCACAAGAAGCATTATTGTGATTAAAGTGGTAGTACAAGTATAAGTTAAAGTTGAGGAACAATAAATTTTAATACGTTATTAAGTTTCTAATTATTAAAACATTATCAGATAATAAAGCTAGAGGTTTATGGAAAAAGAAAATAAAAACAGATTGTTTGTAGAAATCTCCGCTTAAAATAAGCCCAGTTGAGGTCCTGAATGAGAATTTAAAATAAAACTGGATGATAGAACAAATATGCTTTTATGATTCTGTCTTTGGTTTTTTGGAAGAAAAAAAATAGTCGGCCTTCTATTTAACGACGTTCCATTTTGTGAATTTTTTTCGAGGAACTAAGAAAATGTTGGAAATTTTCTCAAGTAAAAAAGCGAAGTGAATTTTCTATCTAACGAACTTTTATTTGAGATCACTTTCCCTATTTCCCAAAAGATTTCAAACTTGATAACGCATTTTATGGGAGAAATGACCTTGGCTTTCCCTTTTAGTTTACATTACGAACGAAAAACTCGGCCAAAATTAACTGATTTCATCAGTAGCAATTAAATTTAAGAACGCATGTACGCTTAAAATTACTTTCATAATATATGCAGCTATAATTTAATACGTAAATTTAGTTTTTTTCTTTTAGTTTAAAATGTGTGTAGCATGATAGTGTAACTCTGGATAATGTTTTGCTCTTTTCTTGCTTTCTATGCAGATTTCTTTCATGGTTAAGACTTATAAAATAAATAGTAGATACTAGTATACAAGATAAAGGTGTATCAATTGCTGTTTTAATTATATCTCGTGTTTATGAATTTAAAACTTGTTTTATGTTGTTAAGTACTTCAAAAGGTGATTTTCTATTTAACGAATTTTCTGTATCACGAATTTTTTATCGGGATTTAGAGCTGAAGGGGGTACTTCCAGCGAGGATGACTACATAATCTGGACTCTAATTCGTCCCAAAAGTGTTCTATGGGATTAGATCTGAAAAGGGCCCTGTCCAGTTTTCGAACAGCCAATTCGTCAAACGACGTTTGTGCAAGCCTTGATGTGTGAATGGAGCAGTTATCCTGCTGTAAGAGAAATGGGCCTTCCCCGAAATATTGCTACAGAGTTTGGAGTGCAGCATTGTCCAGCCATTGTGCATTGTCAAACCACAGGAAGTAACGGACACAGGCCACATCATTATGCTTCCACCACCATTGCAACTGGGTGTCCGTATTCTCTTGACCGGATAGTGTATTTTCTTAAATGCATAATAAATTTTGAAATATCAGAAAAGTATTTGCTGTTTAAAGGCAAGGAGAAAAAAACTGAAATAAATGATAATTGTGGTATGTCAGAGATTCCTGGAATTCAGAAAGAACTATAATATTTTGTGGAATTTCGTACTGCAACTAGGACTGGACGATAAATCCGAAAATATCGATTCTATGCTTTCGATGTTTAGATTGGCAGTTTTTCGAAGCGTCGGGAATAGTGATTTACTTGAGATGTGTACGATATTTCCCGATAGTTCATCGATGTCTGCAAGCTCGAGTGTTCTTTTAACTGCTATTTTACACATTATTTTAAATATTGAGAAATAATTATAAGAAATGCAACGTTTATTTAAAAAAAAAATTCAACTTACTGATTGCGAATTTAAGCAATATTAAAGGTAAAACATTAATGTATCGAAACATCACGATGCATCAAAATATCGTGATGCCGAAATCTTTACACCGCCCAGTTCTACTTGCAACCCTAACCATGATTAAATTCAATTACTCATTAATTTTTTTTCCTTCATGTTTCTTAGAACAACCCATGAAGTGGTAGAAGCAGAGGGATATCTTTATGCCATCGGTGGGAACGATGGAAGTTCGAGCCTAAGCACAGTGGAGAGGTATGATCCGCGACACAACAAGTGGATGCTGGTCACCTCCATGAATCTGAGGAGGAGCAGCATTGGGGCCACTGTTTTGGAATGTCCTAACCTCGAGAGGATACTCTCATCTTCTGATGGTGCATAAATCTGCGATTTTACACAAACTGAATTTTATATTGCCAAGCTTTTTTTTAAAAAAACCTTTTTCCATCATCGTGGTGAACTCTCTTTTAAAATCTGCAACAATAAGAAAGGTACTGTAAGTGGCACTTTTTAAGAGAAGTTTTAGAGTCCACTTTCACATTTTGGCAATAAGACTTAAATCAAAATGCATAACATTTTGAGTTTGATTTACAAAAGGTTCCATTTGCAATGCAAACTGTGTATAACTGCTGTTCTATACATGCATATATTATTTTTAAATAAGCTGCAATTTTGCTTTCTTCGACCACATAATTTTGTTTCAACCAACAAAAAATAATATTAATAATACACTGTACAAAATGTTACTAGTATTGGACAATTGCAAAGAGACTCTTATTCGACTTGAAGTTGAAACACGTATAAGTTTTCAATTAATAATTTATACGAAACCAAAAAACATTTTTATTTCCTCACAGTGTATTTAATAGCAACTTTATTACCAATCTATTAAACATATTGTTTATTTGTTTTATGTTTACAGAGTGTGAATGTTTACACTGTACTCGTTTTGTTTTTTACTTTTTTTGCTGATTATTCACAGTTGCTGCTTATGTTTTTTCATTATTTACATATTGTTTAAGACATTTTTGGAGTTATAAAAACATTTCTATTGTGATTTTTTTTTTAAAGAGAAAAGCTAGAGAAAGGGAAAATAATTTTAGTGCTAAATATATGTTTCTCTTGATGATTTATTTTTTCCTCTTTGTCAACAGCTAACATAACTTTTGCTATATTTGTCAGATTTTTTTGCTCAACTTATACTTCAAGTGAAAAACAGTCACAGAAAGAAAAATTTTAGCACATATGAAGAAAATAAGAATCTTCAAGAAATTTATGCTTCACCCAAGTAAAAATTCAATATTTATTAGTGGAATAAGGGTCACCTCGTAGTTGCCTGATTGCCATAAAATTTTGCATGAATCTTTTTTTTTGTTGTTGATTGAAACAAAATAAGGGAATGGGGACTAAACTTCTAAAAGTTGAAAGAAATATAGACATATCATCTATTTAAAATCACCCAAGTATTGATAAAAGTTATAAAATTGCAGTATAAGATAAAAAATTATGATATTGCAGTATAAGAAAAAATATCCCATAAGATAAAAAACAAAACTAAAAAAACTTTTGAAGGTCATTTTGAGCCCTCTAATTTTTTTTCTTCACTTTTATAATTTTTGAAGCAATTTCAGATTATCAAATATATCACTGGAGTTCCTTGGGGTTATTCAGTTAATATGATAGTATTAGCTAATGCATAGCTGCCAACATGGGGAAGAAAAGATGCAGTAGATTTTTCAAAATATACACTTCATGATAATTGTGGCATAATGTACTAAATATTTCACATATAGGGATTTTTATAGTAAAAAAAAATGGAAAAACTGCAATATTTTTCTGTTATGATAGACATTAAACGAACTTAAAATGTTATGTTTACTCATAATTTGGAATAGTAATAAGCATTCAATTCACCAAAGATAGATTTTTATAACACCAATATAAATGTTCAAGCGAGTGTAAAAATCCTCTTTAATAGTTTTTTTAAAATGAAATTTACTCAATTTTAGGAAATTTTCTAAAATGTACAAAAACTAGAATCTTTATTAAACCAGTAGAAACTGACAATATCCAGTAGTCTTCTGGAAAATTCAGTAGAGTTGGCAGCTATGGTTAATGGCTAATAAATTGACTTAAAATAAATATGTGTTTAAAATATATTAATAAATATTTTATGAAAAAAACATTCTAAAATTAAGATATCTACCATATATTTTTTGCAATGTTAAGAAGGATCAAACTGCTCAGTTATCAATTTGCTTGCATTCAATATATATTTTATGATTACTAAAATATTTATTGAATACAAATGTAAGGACATCTTTTTTTAAGTAGAGGTCAAGGTAGTAATTTGATATAAATTTCTATTAACTTTTTGAAATATATTCCAAGACTTAACAATACACGCATATATGTATGTATTGTAATAAAGTAATAAAAGTAGGAAATGAGCATGTGAGGTAGGAAAAATTGAGTAATTTTACTTTTACAATTGCTCATCACACATTGAAGAGAATTGATAAAACCACAGCAAAACAAATAACGTTTATTTTGTAATATCAATTTAATATACCTGTATAGAAGAGTTCTTTAAAAGTCCATACTATAATAACTCATCTTTTACATTTTAAAATAGAAAATGAAAGCTATTTCTGAATGTATTGCCCAGGCTTACAAAAGAAAGTTGTTAAAGAAAGAAATCAGCTTTCAAAAAAAAAATAAATAAATAAATAAAATAAAATTCCAAAAAAATTGGGGCAGTTTTTGGAACAGTATATTAGATTACTTTTAAAAAAGCAAATCTTATGCAAAAAGTAATCAAATATAAGATTTTTAATTTCAAAAGTACCTTGTTTAGAACAGAAAGTTTTAACAGTTTGCAGCACAATTCTAACAATACTGAACTGAGAAAAGCTTCAAATCAATGTCTGGAAAATTTTTTATAGTACTGATGCAGTTAAAAAAAAAAACACAGTATTAATTAGTTAATTTTCCTTTACACCAATGTATAGTCATAATTCAAGATATCCTTAATCAAAAAACTTTAGAGTACGGTTCCGATTCGATTAATCCCAAAATGAAAACAGTGGATTGATATAACTTACAAGATGGTAATTGCATTTGATTGAAATAAAAAAAAAAGAAACAAGTCCTGAATTCATCACCATAAAAATGTGATAATATTGGGTTGACCGTGAAGTAATTTTATTTTTTTCAAACGAGGACTAATATTTTTTCAACTCTACACTGAAGCTGCATAGTCATTATATATTTTGACAGTTGATATAGCAAGGCTTGCTTGTGGAAAAGTTTGATTTTATGCAGCAATTTTTGATTGGTGCCTTTCCGTAAAATAAGGTAAAAAATCATCCAGATCAGTTTTTTTTTTTTACCAAAAAATAAAAATTTTATTCATGCTACGACCAGGAAAATGGCAAAAAGTATTGGGCTAGAGCGGACAATATAGGATTCAATAAAATATTTATTACAAATACCACTAAAAGAAAACCACCTTTTGTTTTCATAAAAAAACCAGATTACTTATAGAACAACCCTATATAAAATTATAAATTGTGTTTCTTCTTTCATAGATTGACTGAATTCCCATAAAGGTTTAAACTATATGCTTGAACCACATTTTTAATTAAAAGTACTCCACTAAATGGGAGCAATCTGATTTTGCGATTTCTACCAAATTGAAATAAAAAGATGTCAGATCAAAAATCCAAACTTTTCAATTCTTTAAAATTATAAAAATCCACATTTATACTATTCTTAAAAAAGTAGGATGCTCTGAACATAGACCAAAAAAATCAAGAATAACAGAACAACTACGAACCCAAATTGCTGCATAGGGAAGCAGAACAAAGCATTTCATTGACGTGAAATATTTTTAACAAAACGTTTTTTTGAACTTTCACGAGAACACAAAATAATTGATTCCCAGAGAATAGATTTAAGCAAAAAAAAAAAAAACATTGGCTCTTCAAGAAGTCACTGCCATCTTCATTAGTTTCACTCTTTTTTTAAAAAAATATCATTTAGCAACATCTTAAGAGGATGCCATACCGCTGGAATAAAGTTAGTCAGCGTAATTCCATTGCATAAACCTAAATTATCATCCCATAATTTATTTTCATTTATATATTTTAAAATTTTCTTTTTGGTATTGGGTTTTCTCTAGGTTTGTCTGAATACACTTTAAATTAGCAATAAAGGAGAAAGGACCGAAATTTTCTTCTGCGGTATAACATCCTCTTAAACTACACATTTGTTTTTATTGCTGTAATACGTAGTTGTATATATCTGAGGCAAAATCAAAGACTTTTCACTAACTTGGATTGCTGTTATAACAATAGTAATGTAGATTTTTAATAAAGAAAACCTTTTCTAATTTCATATAAATTGGTTGAAATTTGGCACTATAGACATTTTTTAACTTTTTGAGGGAAAAAAAATCTTTTATATATCAGGTGCTTGAGGAATTGCTTGCATAACATTGCCTTTAATATACATATTAAAGATCCTTGAGAAAAAAAATTACACAAAAATTGATAGTTAAACAAAGTAAAATACAAAAGCATAATTCTCACAATTCACTATTAATAAAGGCTATTCTAAAAATATATATTAAAGGCAGTGTTAGTAGAATAGTTTGTATATTAAATTATTAGTTTAGTTTCTTAAAATGTGGGACCTAATATATGTATAGTAAAAGTATTTCATAACTATTAAATTTAAACAAGAGGTACTCAAAATGTTTGACCAGTAGAAAACGGCTTACATAATTGTGATATCCATTTGTTGAAGTTACGGTACTGGTTTAGTTAAAAATTGAAAACAAGACAGTTTCACTGAAATCTATTAATAAACTTCTGAGGAATGTAAAAAAAATTATGCTAAAGTTTTCATTTATTTTTAATTGAAAATTCCAAGTTTTTTTTTAAAATCTAAAAACAAAACATTGTGAGTACCTCATGTAATTTAACTGGAAAGAATAAATTTTTTAGAACATTTGTCAGCAAGTTCCTTAATGAGTTTACTTTAAGAAAAGAACTTACTGACAATAGAGAATTCATCATACTGTGATAAACTGTCTAGTCTTTTGTCATTTGATTTTTTTAAAAATATTTTATCATTATTCAATGTGCACTAGTTTTTTGTAAAAAAGCTTCAGAAAAAAAAAAGAAAGAAAAATCTGTTCAACAATTGATGTAATTAACATCTATTATTAAACTTTTATTTGAAAAAAAAATTACAGTCTATGTTATTTGTTTTGATACTTGTATGCTTTGCTTTTAATAAAATGATTGTTACTTCTTATAAACTCCTAGGTCTACTAAATCGAAATCTTTATCAGCAATGTTCAACATCAGTGCATTGGCATTCACATAAACTCTGTTCTGTGAAGCGGCAATCTAAAGTTAGAGGAAAGAAACGGAAACACTATTAGCAATAGTACATACATTACACTATTAATTAAAAGGAAAATTTTCCGTTTAACTCGGACCCGTGGCAGAGTCGTGGCGATATTGCAGCAGAATGTTAGAGTTCTTGCAGAAAGATTTTTTTTGGGGGAAGTTACAAATTTTGGTTATTTTTTCTGCAAAAATTTTTATCTTTTCTTCAGAATTATATTCAAAAGTTGCCTTTTTTGTGCAACGGAGAGGGGGGGGGGATTCTTGTGTTTTTTTCTATTCATTCAGATTTTCAGAGCTTTTCGTTTTAATATTTTTCATGCAGTAAATTATTATTGATTTCCACATATATTGATTTATACAATGCTATTTATTACAACAACCGAATCTCAAAATGAAAACAGGCATTTAGTAACTCTTTTCGCCATCCGATTTGCGTGATTTCGTAGTTTTTATTTCTTTTTACATTAGTTACTGCTACGGATTTCATGATTTTTTTTAAAAATCTGATGTGATTACAATGTGATTTACAAAATACGAAATAATCAGTGTGATATCCCCCTACAAATGCCTAAATATCGCCTATAATATTGGAAAAAAAATATATTACATATTCTTAAAAAAATTATTTCATTTGATCCAAAAATTTTTTTTTTGTTAAAGTTGACGCTACTTTGAATTAGTATTATACATATTTGTTATTTTTAAAAGTAATTAGTATTAGAAAGGTATGTCGCAGAAACCCGGAGAAAATTCTGCCACAGGGGTAATATGATAGAAGATGGATATGATATACCACAATTCTCCATAAAACATGTTAACTTTGTGGATGTAAACAATCAAAATTGCACATAAAATTTTCAACAATTCACATTTTGCCAGTCTTAATTTGTTTAATTACTTTGTATAAGTAAACTACAAAAATATAGAGGGCAGAAATAAGCCTATTGCTGATAAATTTATTAGTTAGCTTAATTTTTCCCTATAACTAATAAATGACTGATTTCCTTTTATTTGTGTGTCATTACATTTGAATTTAAAATTATATTTAAACCATTAATATTTTAGAATTATATTGCTATCACTAAGTATGTTTGCTATGATTTATATAATGCAAAATTCTATGTAATACAGACTAAAGTTTTAAGACTTGCATTATAAAGATCTTATGTATAAAACTTTAGAAATACGTTTTCCAAATTATAAATTAAACTACTTTTAATTTTAAATATTTTAAAATGTCATTCTTTTTTGAACTGACGCTTGGTTTACCTCATGATTTAATATTATTTAAAACTTTAATTTCGTTTGACATTTATTATTTTTTATTAAAACGGATATTTTAAATTTAAGAAAAATGAGAACACATTGGTCCACCATTATTTAGTGAAGAAAAAAAATTGTTAATCAGACTAAAAACATTTTTAGTAAACTATACAAAGAAATAAAGTTTTTGGAATAACAAAATTTCATGATAGAAGAATTGATTTCACTTTTTTAAAATATTACCAAACACTGATTCTACAAGACTTGGAAAAAAAAAATTTTTTTTCAGTTCTACTATCCCAAGTTTCATCTATGTTGGTAACAAAAGTATCCAATTAGAATTTAATCTAGAGGACTGAAGTTCAGCCTTGACTCAGTTCTGCATGCCTAAACATTTTTTCCTAACTTTGTAGATTATCAACTTCTTCAGATATTAAATTATATACAACAGTCTCAATTTTTTGAGCCACAGTAGCATTTCTCAATTTTTCTGTTCCCTATTTCATTAGGCCCACACTTGTTAGATTATTTTTACTTATCTGCAAATAAAGATGCCTTTTCTAGTTTCTTTTCTTTGCCATTAGTTCATAGTCTGTTTTATATATATATTCTTCAAATATATTCCACGCACAATTTAAAAGGTTATATGGTACATTTAAAATCCCACCACAATTTCAAATGCCTTTCACTAATTTAGGAAATAAAATAGTTATTTTCATTGTGAATGAGCAACTTATTAAAAACCCTTTTTAGGATTCCTTTTTATAAAATCAAAATTGTTTATATAATTGCAATTAATTCTTTTAATTTTGAAGAAGAAACAGCTATCTCCATTAACCATAAACCTGCATTTTTACAGATCCGAATCCCGAATCCAATCAAAAGGCTACTGTTTTAATTTCAGGCAATTTTTTGATCACTCAAAGTCAATAATTTTATCAATTAATGGCTGTCAAATTAAGAATTTTTTTTATATGATTACAACAATTTTCTATTCATAAAAAATAAATAAAAAAGTAAATTTAAAAAAAAATTTTTTTAAACTTTAATAACTACTTATTCAGATGAATTATAACGAAGTGGTTAACTTACAGTTCTGGCAATGTTTTGAGCAGCTCTTAACTTCCTTAGTTTCAAATAACCTGGATTCTTAGAAATTGCATCACCTAAGTGGTTTAAGTTAAGAGAAAAACAATATTTGCACAAATAACTATCACAAATTGGTGGACAGGCTGAAATATTTAACATAAATTGGGTATGAAACAAAAGAAAAAAAAATCAAGCATCTTTTTCATATAAATGCTTCAAACCATAATATAAATTACATGATGAAACAATGCTCAACACTAAACAAACCAACACTTAATATATACCTATTTCTACCATAGCCTGTCAAATGACCAGACTTCATGCTTCTTGATTGAATGTATGAAATAATGGATGTTAGGAAGGAAATAAACTAAAAAAAACTTTATTATAATTAAACAAAACTGTATATTGCTAATTTTTATGTATTACAAACACAAAGAATAAGAATTTTTAATTCATTGCTCAAAGCATTTTTTACATATACAGGGTTTTTCCATTGTACATTTTTTGCAAACATATTTCTTCTAATGATTATTATTTCTCTAATTCTTATAATTGTAAGAATTCTAATTCTTATGAATAATCTTATATCTTCTAAGAAATTGTTAGTTACAAATGATGTAAAGCCATACCCTCCAACTGGTACGGAATTTCCGTAGTTTCAGAAATCTTCTTTTCAGACGATAGCAAAATTAATGTCTTAATATTTAAAAAAAATTAATTTTAGCGTAACTTGTCCACTATTACTTATAAAAGTGCAGGGCATATGGCTAGATTCTAAAGTTCTGATAAAAGTTTTATGAGAGATCCATTTGCTGTAAAAATTTCTACTTTGGTTCGCTACCACAAGAAAGAATTATTTTCAAAATTCTCAAAAGTTGGAGGGTTGGATGTAAAGCTATCAAATAGTTAGATACAAATGAAGTAAAACTATCAAAATAAAATTTAAACTAAATACCAAAACATTTAGTTTTTGCCACTTTTTCTGACACAAAAATGCCAATCTAAAATTTTAGGCACTTTCTTGAAATTTGAATTCACAGTTATTCTGATTGAACTCACTACGTCTTTGCAGAAATGTGCAACTCATCGACTGCAATACGTTGAACACGCATTACATCTTAATTTCTGATCCGATTACCTTATAAAGCAATAAATTGTTCTTGTAGAAATAGGTATACAACATGTATTATTCAAAACAAACAAAATACAAAAAAGATAATATTAGAGTATTAACTTAATATTGTTAGAAAAAGTCATGAAGTCAAATGTTCAAAAATGATAAGATGATCAGCTAATTTCCAAGCAAAAGATCTTAAACGGTCATTCGACAGGTTATGGTGCGTTTAGTGTTAAATGTAACATGATACAACTTTTATTTACAGAAGCCATCAGATTACTAAAGAGTGCATCATGATAGTCAATGGTTCAATGCAAGCATCCATCTTCTTGCACACAAACAAACACACACACAATTGTATACAAAGATAAGTTAAGAGGACAGGCAAAACTGATGGCTATCCAAAATTATAAATATCTTTGCATTTCTTTTAATTTAGATTTGCGGTTACAATTCCACGATAATCTTTAATGAACATGGAACCAAGATTCACAAACCACAGACTGAACCATTGACTCATATTAGTTTCTTCATCATGTGGCAGTTATTAAAAAATTATTAACAATATGTGACGATGATTAAATAAAAATTAACAATATCATAGCAGCCAACATGAATAGGAAAAACTCCAGTAGATTTTACGAAATAATTTCATGATAATTGTCGCATAATGTACTAAATATTCTACACATAGTGAATTTTATAGTTATTGAATAGAATCCAGTTATGATTGACATGAAATGAACTTGAAATTTTATGTTTACTCATAATTTTGAATAGTAGTAGGCATTTAATTTACCAAAGATAATTAAGACTGTTTAATTAATTTTAAAAAGCGAGCTCTACATAAATAGAACATTTTAGAACAAAAAAAAAAGTTTTAAACTGATTTTTATAAATGAGGATCACTTCATAATGCTTTAGTAACACCTATTTAAATGCTCAAGCAAGCAATAATTAGTAAAAATCCATTAAGGATTTTTTTATGTTATTTTAGGAAACTTACTCAATTTTGGGGGATTTTCTAAAATAAAAATAATAAATAAAAAAAACTAGAATTTTTATTAAACCAGTAGACCAGAAGAAACTTAAAATTCAGTAGAGTTGGCAGCCATGGTTATTGGCTAATAAATTGACTTAAAATAAATAATATATGAGAAAAATATAAATATTTTATGTAAAAAAAAAAAAAAAAAAACATTCTAAAATTAGTCATTTCAATTCAAGTTTTAAGCTGATTATTATGAATGAGGCTTGCTTCATCATGTATTAGTAATACTTATTTAAATATTCAGGCAAGCAATAATCTGCGTAAAAATTCTATCTCAATAGGGATTTTTTTAGAAAACTTACTCAATTTCAGGAAATTTTCTAAAATTTTACAAAAACCAGAAGAATTATTAAACCAGTAGACCAGGATAAAATTGGCAAAATCCAGTAGAGTGGGCAGCTATGCAATTTCTTTTTTTCATTTGAAGTGTAGCATTCACATGATCAACGTACACACATCTTTGATAATATGAAAACTCTACACCCACAATTGCAGAACCCCAATCAAAAATATAACTGAATTTTTTAACTCAATATGTATAAAAAAAAAAAAGAAAGTAAACCATTTTTGATTCCTTTTCAAGTTTGAACTTTATTTCTGATGAACCCAACCTCTATTCTTAAAAAAGAAAAGTATAAATATATATAAGATCATTTCTGTTACAATAATGTAAGAAAACCCCTATAACAGAAACCAAAATAACACACCACATTGATCTATTTAACAACTTCAAAAATCACAGATCATATTAGATATAAAGTAGTATTTAATTTATAACAGACTGTGAGAAGTGAGTAGTTATTTACCATGTCAACCTTCATTTATGAAAAGGTACTCCAACATAGAATAGAGTTAACATGTCTTATATACTAGAGAATTGGAATTTTATCTTTTTAGTGGTACACCAGATACACTACAAGACAATAAACTTACGATATTTTCTAGAATAGAATACTCACTAATCTTATGTTTATATATGTAAGAGAGTGCATGTGAGATATTAATATCGTGCTTCGCTTAAACATTTTGATATAATTTGACAATTTGGATGCATCTCTGCTTAACAAACAGACTTCCCGTTACTTCCATCACTTAGCAAATTGTACACAGTAGAAAAAAATTCCATATTAACGGTTCAACTTTCAGGGATATGATTCAACTAAAACTTATTTAAATCTTATAATTATTCAAAACTCACAATTAAAAACAATGAAGCCATCAGATTACTAAAGAGTGCATCATGATAGTCAATGGTTCAATGCAAACATTCATCTTCTTGCACACATACAAACACACACACAATTGTATGCAAAGATAAGTTAAGAGGACAGGCAAAACTGGTGGCTATCCAAAATTATAAATATCTTTGCATTTCCTTTAATTTAGATTTGTGTTTACATCTCCATGATAATCTTTAATAAACATGGAACCAAGATTCACAAACCACAAATTGAACCATTGACTCATATCAGTTTCTTCATCATGTGGCAGTTATTAAATAAACATTTACAATATGTGACGATTATTAAATAAAAATTGCGTGAATGTGAGAAAAAACAAAGGTTTAACAGCTTTTCAGGAAATGAGGGGGGTGGGGAACAGTGAGTCTGTCTATAACAATTCAAATTTGCAATTCCATAGAGAAAATTTTTACTCAAGAAATGATAGATAAACAAACACTAATATAAGCTAATAAAAAAGTGCAATTTCTAAACCTTAATTAAAACCAGGTGATAACAAAGTCTGATGATCAATTTTAAAATTGTATGAATATGAATCACATGCATGATTTTAAAATCTTGTGAATAAGTCCAGCAGTATTTGATTTTAAATTGAGAGAATAGGAACCCCGATATGTGGCTTTTAAATCACATGAATATGAAACACTATATGGTATCTCAAAAATGAAAAAATACAAATAATGATGAATAATTTTTAGATTGCGTAAATGCGAATCACAATGCATAATTTTTAAATCGCATGAATATGAAAATCGATGTTTAAAATTACAACCACAAAAACGAATCATGATATTGGGTTTTAAACTCTAGAGAATATGAATCGCCACATAGGATATTAAAAACGAGTGAACACAAATTGCGATATTGGATTTTTAAATTTCGTAAATAAGAATCGCGTGTACAATATTTAAATTGGGTGAATAAGAATCGCAAAGGGAAATTTTGAAATCAGGCAAATACGAAAATCGATGTTAAAATCATGTGAATAAGAATCGAGAAGAAAGCAGCAACATTTTAATTACGAAAATACGAGCTATCCGGAGGGCGGGTAAAAATGCGGAAAAATTTATTTTCTGCGTGTAAAAGTGGAGAAAATAACCAAAATAAGTAAAAATGCGATAGGTGAGGCAGCTACGTAGTTTGAGTAAAAAAAAGCAGAATATTTATTAAAAAAAACTTAAACTTTTAGAAAATCAGAGTTCTTTTGATCAAAAGATTGAAATTCGAGACACAAAAGCGGAATAATCTCATCCCAGTTAACAACTTTCGATTTATCTTTAATCTCCAATACCTTTCTTTATTGCAAGAAAATTAGATTACATCGAGTCAGCTCATATCATCTTCCCTGCTTTCTTTTTCCAGTGGGTTTAAGAAGCAATATCTTTTTTTATCGTACAGTCATAAATCATTTGAATCGCGTTGGTCATTCAATTCATTTTTATGTATTTAATAATATTGGGTTGTTTATAAACCTAGCACAGATCAAAGTTAAATATCCACCTCCAGTTATTGTTTTTCATTTTAAGAAAGCAATGGTAAAAATTCAACATTAAAAAAAATTCAGGTAGTCTCCATTTTACATTCATGCATAAAAAATGATGAATTTAAATGCATTTGGATCTCAATCTCATGCGTTCTTGGACCAGTTCTGAACAAGACGGGTGGAGAGATAAACAGAAGGTTGAAATACAGTAAAAATTGAAAAATTTTCCAAAAATACAGGATATTTGCATATTTTGAAATTGGTAAAGAGGTGTGTGCGAATTTGTAGCATAAACAATTTCATAAAGCGAGAAAAAGAAAAAATAGAGTTTTTCGCACTGTAGTGAAAACACTGATAGAGCACAAATCATCATTACAAGACTAATAAACACATAAAAGGATATCATTTTAGCGACTTCAGCTTCACCTTCGGCTTGCACAATCTTTTGTTGCCTCTCTTGCTTGGCTTGTTCAACAACAAAAGCTGCTCTTTGAGCTTCTTGTTGAGCTACCTATGAAATTAGAAGAAAAAAAAGGTTAATTTAAACCTAAGTTAAATAGATGAAACTCTTTAAAGAAAAAAAAAAATTTCAAAATCTTAAAGGATTTTTTAAAGAGTTTGCAATTGTAAGTTACTTAGTTAATGACACTTATTTTTAAGCTATTTCATGTATCATTTAAATAAGATAAAACTAAAAGGTAACATTTAGAAAAATACACAAAATGAACACAAAAGCAGTTTTTTAAATGCTTTATGTAAAGGAGTACAGCACATACATGCCAACTTCAACCCATTGCAATGGGAGATGTTCCATTTAATATTTAAAATGGTACTAGTAAATTTTACAATATATAAGCTTCTGATTTAGTTTTGTTTTAAGAATGATAAAAACTATCACTATATATAATCAGTTTGAACATATATGTAAGGCAACAATTAAGCAAAATTAAAAATATTTCAGAATCCTTTTCAAATTTTCTCACTTTAATTACTTTTTTCATTATTTTAATTAGAATCTTTNCTGAAATTTCTGCTGCTTCTTAGCGCGTTTTTTTCAAAGAAGTTTTATCCTTTTGATCTTAATTATTTGTGTTTTCTTTCAGTATCACTATATATAATCAGTTTGAACAAATATGTAAGACAACAATTAAGCAAAATTAAAAATATTTCAGAATCCTTTTCAAATTTTCTTACTTTAATTACTTTTTTCATTATTTTAATTAGAATCTTTTAGATAAATTTATTCTGTTTATTGTGCTGCCATCTGTCCATAGTATAAAGAAACATTTAGAATGAAAAGAAAATTTAGTTGAATTAAAAGTTCATCAATAACCAATTTAATAGAAATGATTGGAACTTTAAAAGGAGGTAATGGCTAAAGAATTTTTCAATCATCATATAATGAGAATAATTCATATTACGCTGAATAATAAGAATGTTAAAATGAAGTATAAACAAATACTAACAAATAAAACTAAGATTATCTAAACAAGATAATCAATATGTGGTTGGTGAAAATGATAAGGTTGGTGAAATAACTTTATATTATCAGAGCTGCCAACATGGATTAGAAAAAATCCATTAGATTATATGAAATATTATAAATTTCATGATAATTGTTGCATAATGTACTAAATATTTTACTCATAGGATTTTTAACATCAACAAAATAGAAAAACTGCAATGTTTTTCTGTTATGATTGACATTAAACATACTTAAAATGCATTACGTGTACTCATAATTTCAAATATTAATAGGTATTTAATTCATCAAAGACAATTTAAAAAATTGTTTTAATTAATTTAAAAAGAGAGTTCTGAATAAAAATAAACTGAACATTTTAGAACAAAAAAAAGTTTCAAATTGATTTTGATAAATGAGTGTTGCTTTATTATATATTAGTAATACTTATTTAAATATTCAAGTAAGCAGACAATAATGTACTAAAATTTGATTTTCAAAAGGGATTTTTTTTTAGGAAATTTACTCAATTTTAGAGAACTTTCTAAAATGTACAATAAACAGGAGAATTTTAATTAAACCAGCAGACCAAGAGAAACTGGCAAAATCCAGTAGTCTACTGGAAAATCCAGTTGAGTTGGCAGCTATGTATTATATTTAACAGAACTCATAAAATAAACACACCATAAAACAAAAATCTGTCTTGAAAAAACATGCTACCTTTGTATATAATAAATACTAGAATACACAATATATACTACCTTTGTATATAATAAATACAAAGGTAGGTTATTCAACAGTTACTTGTAGAAATAAAATGTAAAAAAGGTTACATTTTATCTACATAAGCATTTTAGAGACAATACACAAATATTCTGAAAATAATTTTAAAATTAATCTGAACATTCCTTACTTATCCGGAGAGAGTAGATTGATTAAAAAGAAAAGCAAAGAGATTCTCCTTTGCTTTTCTTTTTAATCAATCTACTCTTTCATTATTACATTGTATTACAGGCAAATTTGCATCTAATATCTCGAAAAATAGGTTCAGAAAAGCAACAAATAAACTCTACTCATTCAAACTATTCCTTTAGTCATTGTAAAACAATTGTAAAGGTTACTTATCAGGGGTCTGTCCAGCATATATTTACTACCATTTAGAGGTAACTTCACAAATTCAACTTTAAGAAGAAGAAAAACCTTAGGTAGTTTCACAAAACACTTTTAATAAAGCAAGTTCTCATGCAAACCCCATTCTCGTTGCAATCTAGAGAAAACAGGTGCTTTTTACAAACGGGGGGGGGGGGGGGAATTTCTCTCTTTTTTTCTATAGCTAAAATGAAACGGAGAGAGTCTGCCTCTGAAAACTTTCCAGGAAGTCAAAATTCTAACATTAGCTTAAACACTATTGTAAATTTACTCTAACACACCTTTATTTAAGAATAATTTTTTTACTCTGTACTGTTAAATGTTGTACTCAGTACCGTTAAATGTTGTTAGAAGATCAAACACGGAACTTTACAAAGCATATAAAGAACCTGATGTCATTAAATTTATCAAAATTTAAAGGATTAAATGGGCAGGCCATAAAGAATAGAGGATAGCAGGACAAACAAAAAAGTTTTCAGTGCCAGGCCAACAGGTACAAGAAAAAGAGGACGACCAAGCCTAAGATTTTTAGACTGCCTTGAAAAGGACCTACAAGTTTTAAAGATAATTAACTGGAGAACCTTGGCTAAGGGAAGAATGTCTTAGCATAGGCTTGTTGAGAAGGCCAAGGTCCATCCTGGGCTGTCAATGAGAAGAACTGTTATATACATGTTTTTATTAAATAAAAACTGAAATTTAACTATGGACAATGGTTTCTATGGAATTTCAAAATTGAATGCAATTTTAAGCCCACAATTATCTCTTTTTATATGAGGAGAAATATATAGAAATTTACCTGTCATAAATGATTTTTATTTGAAGTGACAATTTTTGAAAAATATTTTTTTACTTTACAAAATTTTTGTGCTGATTCTTAATTTTCACAAAATAGGTACCTCTCAAAAGAAACCAGATAGACCCCTGCTTATGGTTTCCTTTATTTCGCCCAGTGCCCTGGACGAAGTTTTACCCAGAAAAAATTCCAACCTGAAAGTCAATTAACAAAAGTTATTAAAATTACTTGTTTAGCTTCAACAGCAGCTGTATATTCTTTTCCAAAACTAAGTTCAGTAATAGAAACATCATCCAGAATAAGACTGAAATCTCTGGCTCGCTCTATCAATTCTTTTCTAACTAGTAGGGAGACTTGTTGACGTTGTGTAATCAGCTGTGAGGCATTAAACTTTGCAACAACACTTTTCAAAACCTGTAAAATGTATTGAGGTGATTTGTCAATGTACTTGAAGTGATAGAAGACTGCAAGAACTAATAATTTTACCATAACTCATGCTTGATAGAAGAAGAAAAAAATTCAGGATATTTTCTTGGAACAGTATACATAAATTTAAAAAAAAAAGCAAACTAAAGAAGAAAAAAAAGTAAGATTTTCTCTAAGCATATCTATCAAAGGCAAATTCTATTACAAAAGAAAATAAACATAGTATTTTTAATTTCAGAATTACTTTTAGGTGAGAAAGTCTTAAAAATTTACAGTATATATTTATCAATATTGAACTCTTAATAACTTTAAATCAATACATCAAAATTGTGATACTTCGGCTGCATTAAAAAAATATTGAAGATCAATTAGTTAATATTTTATCATATTAATATATAATTAAAATTATTAATTGTATTTAAGATTTCTATAATCACACAATTTTAATGAATGATCGATTATTTTTAAATTCAGATAAAAGAGATGAATGAATAATTGTTAAACTACTTAACTCTACTAGAGAGTTTGGGTAACACTTCCTGCTAATATTCTTTTCCTGTTAATTTATTAGTGGGAGATTTTCAATTTATTCCATTATTAACATGAATGCCAAACTATGTGAACATAATTATCAATTAACATAGATATCAATTAAATATTAAGAACCGGTACACATTAAGCAGAAAGTATCTTTTAAAAAATAGTTATTAATTTTTTTAAAGATACTTACTAGTAAATATTATAAGTGAATTAGAGCTCTACTACACTAAAAGCATACCTCTCAACCCTTCCGTATTTTATGGAAGTTTAATTTTTTATATTTAGTGTGGTGGCAAAATTCATAGAATCACATTTTATTTTACATTAAACAAATGTGGTTTAAAATGATCTTAACTACCCCATAACACTTAAATAATTTAAACATATATATAGTAGGCTTGCTAGTTCTTAAAGTGTTTTTAAGTGTTGGCTACAATTTACTGAGACACCACATAAGCAAAGTTGGCACATTCTGAGCAAATGCTAATGCCATCTAGGTATGTTTTTTGTAACCAGAGTATAGAGAAAGAATGAGTAAAGTCAGTGTCATGCCAGCTACGATCGAGCTGTTTACTATCACAGGGTTTGACTGTATATCTCAAATTAGTGTTCATAATAATTTCATGATACAAGAAGAAATGAATCCTTACTTCATTACAAATAGAAGGCAAAACACGTTCATCATAATCTGTACCCAACATTCGATAAATATGGGGGAGATTAGCGCTGTCAGGTCGAGCTAAAACTCTCAAGGAAATGTTAACCATCTGAAGATCTAACAAAAATACAAACATTAATATCTTTATTACGAAATTCAAATGTGAGATGTACAAAATTCATTACACAAATATGTTCCGAAAAAGCATGGGTGCAGAATAAGTCGTATGCTGCGGGACAGGGTTCATGATTTTTTTTTTTAAAGAAATCAGATTTTTTAAAATTTAAATTGGATTTCTTTTTACTCAAATATACTGTAAGAACATTGATTTATAATTAAAAAAATTTAATAATGCTTAATCAAAATTTAAATTAATATTAAAACTATATTATAACAATATTTTCGAAGCTCTAACTACCGAAAACAATTTTTCATTATGATGCATAGCAACCATTTTGAAACAAATGGATGATTGAAATTTAAAGACTAGAGAATTTAAAGAATACTTTAGCTATTAAAAAAAAGTTTCAATAGGCAAACCATAATTTTAATTTAATATAGTGATTTCTTTTCTCTCTATCGTGATTTTTAAAACAAAGTTTAGTTTCTTTCAGAAGATTTTTGCATAGGATGTCGATCTATTTTGACTTTATCAAAAAAGTAAGGGTGAAAGGTAATGAAAGCACTTCCAACAATCTTTAGGAAATGCTGATTCTATATTTCTCTCAGGAGAGTAGAATTGCTCTTGACAGTTGTTGCATTAATAATACAGCATGATTCTGCAAATGAGGTAAGGGGGAAATTTGCACACACCTGGGGAAAGTTTCTTTGTCAAATTAAAAAAAATTCTTAATAGCAAAAAAAAGTACCACTCTTCAAATTATATATAAGTTAATAATATTTCATTACATTTTGATCATTATTCTACTTTTGATAACTATGTGATTCTCTAAAAATATTTTGAAAAAGTTGTAGAAAAAATAAAAGACTACTTTTGTGAGATTTAAAGAAGAAAAAAAAAATCTGGGGAATTATTAAGCTCTGAGAATTTCCTATACTCATGAAAAAGTAATCCTCCTTCGCTGTGCTGCTCACTCATGCTTTACATTGACTGTAAGCCACTTAAATATGTCAACAGGCAATGCTCTTTTCAGGGTATCTGCTACATTTTAGATTTTCAAATCCATGACTAATTCCAAGAATTCTTCATGACTTACTGAAATTATTATCTCCGACAAAAACACAACAATAAATTTAATATAATTCTCCTTATCTGCTCTAGCACACAGCATCAACCTTTAACCACTGAATATCATTGCTAGCCACTCTCAAAGTCCTGTGGCAGAATCGCGGGCAACACGGCGACATTGTCGCAGAACACAATTGAGTTCTTGAAATAAAGCAAAAGGATTTTACTTTTGGGAAGTTAAAAAATTTTGGTTTTCTTTTCTGCAGAATTTAAGTTTTTTTTTTTTCCTTCTCTTTTTTTCCTGCAGAATTATACTCTTAAGATAACTTGTTCATCATTTTCTTGTTCATCAGTAGAGAAAGAAATGCTCCAGATTTTTCTGTTCTTATTTGGGATTAAAAAAATTTCGCCTATGGCTGGCTACCTTCAGATAGAATTTTAAACCCATAAAATGACAAATTATGTTCCTTCGTTCATTTTTTGAAAAAACAATATAATTTTTAAAGAAAAAAATAAAAACATTTTATATTTTAACGTATATAATAAAATGTGACAATGAGAGGGGATTTTGTTACTAATTTAGATATTTGAAACACTGGGAAGATAAATTCCATTTTAAAAATTAGAATTTTTGGCGACCTATGACTTTCCATGATTTATTGTTAAAAAAAAGTTAAAATCATGATATTTGTATATCATGATTTCGTTCAATACCGAAATCCATGACTTTCCAGGTGTGCAGATACCCTTTCTTTTTCAATAAGATGAGGTTCCACAAATGTGGTATACATGAAAATGCTGGACAGTATTTGATATTACATTGGTTGCCTTAACTTTTCCATAAACCATAAACAGTGTTTTAACTACAGAGCGAGAACGCGTGAATCTTCATTTTTTTTCTTCTTTTCTCTCATTAAAAAATCATTACTGCCATAAATTCAAACACTCTATTAATCAATTTCAAAATGCGCGAATTTCACGCATTTTGGAAAATGTTTCGTCTTTTGCCAGAGTAAAATCTGTTTCACTTTTCTACCTTGATCTTTCATTATTTTCAACATTAGTTTGCTGGCAGATGTAGAGGACGGGAAAGTGTATGTGCAATGCTGCAAATTTACTTAGTGATTCCGAATAGTTCAGCATCTGTTGAAGGTCTTTTAGCACCCAAAACCGAATTAAGACAAAACACTGTAACAACAGATTGACTGATAAGCATTTGACCAACCTAATGAGAATATCTGATGAAAAAGTAGATATAGCACATTTTCCATATGATGATGCAGCAAAAATATTCAATGCTTTAACAAATAGAAGATGCTAAATATTATAATTAAAGAAAAAAAAATTTTCAGAGTCTATTTGTGCTTTAATTTTTAGAAATCTCACTAAACTTTTTGAAATCTCACCCTGTTTACGAGGAAGGGTGAGAAATTCTCTCATTTTTTTCTGTAATGAAAACACTGATAAACCAGATATAATTACTGATTGAAAATTGTACAGTAAAATTTTCAAATAGGTATCTTTTTGAAATAGAACACCAGTTAACTTTTAGAAAATAATAATCATACTAAAATCACAATAAGAAAGTTTGAAACAATATAAAAAGACATACCTTTACTACCAGTTGGAGATGAGATCTTTCTAGGCTTGGCCCTGATATCATAGATAATAGGATATTGAAACCAAGGTATCCTATGAAATAATACAAAGAGTAAAACTAAGTGTTGACAAGATTTTAAGATTTAACCAGGGTATCTGCTACATTTTAAATTTTCAAATCCATAACACTTCATGACTAATTCCAAAAAATTCTCATGACATAACGAAGTTACTATTTTCTCCGATAAAAACACAATAAATTTAAAAATGCATTATGCAAAGCAAAACTTTTATACTCTGCATTTTAATATTTATTGATTTCAAATTTAAAAAAAAAAGAGTAAAGAAAGAGTTGAAGCAATAAAATAGCTGAAAAAAATAAGAGTAATTTTTTTTTTTTCCTTTTCTTTTCTGCAGAATTAGATCCTGAAGATACTTTTCTTGCTCATCAGAAAGGAAAGAAATATTAGTGAATTTTCAGTTCTCAATTAGGAATAAAAAAAATTCACAAATGACTGAATTTTATGACAGAATTTTATATTGATAAAATAAAAAAATAAATAATAAATAAATAAAAATTCTGAAATTACAGAAGTTTAAAAGATAATATCCTCTAGAAATGATGTTCTTTCTTTCATTTTTTGAAAGAACACAATAAAAACATTTTATATTTTAATAAAATATGACTGTGGGTAGGTTTTTTGTTACAAATTCAGACATTCTGAACATGAAATTAAGGGGATGGGTAAATTACATTTCAAATATTAGATTTTTTGACACTAAATCAAATTTTGACACAAAATTTTAAAAGATAGTTAAAATCAGGGTTGGCAGGTTTTTGACATGTGACAGTTTTTGACAGTTTAAACCATGGTTNAAAAAATAGTTAAAATCATGACATTTCAGGACAAATTTTGTTCAATACCAAAATCCATGACTTTCCAGGTGGGCAGATATCATGTTTAACACAAATATTAATACATAAATAAAATACACCTAAGAAAATTTGAATATATGCTTTAGCAAATGTACTAACCAGACCAAGATGAAATTTTTTTATGAATTGAATTTAAAAATAACATCAAATTCATTATGTTTAGTGCGGGGAAAAAAGCATCACTCAGAATAACCTTTGTTCTAATGATCTTCCAGACTAAGTGTCAATCTTAATAGTTTCTGGAGGTGACTTCATTTATGCTAATTAATTAGTCATAACTACTAAATTATGAAATCGGATAAAAATGCACTTTCCCTGAATAAACATTCTTATTTAAATTTAGATTCCTGACCCTCAAAATAGGTAGACAAAATGTCGAAAAAATTGGATCAGCACATAGATTTTAAAATGAAGCAGAAGAAATTAGCATCCAAGCAAAATTTGTAACTTTTGTTTACAAACATTGCAGTTTGTGATTGTGAAAAGATGTAATTGGTTAGCTAGGCAGAGAAAAAATTACTCAACGATTTCATTGGACGGAAATGAGAAAATGTTCAGAAAAAAAATTATGAAACATAAATCTATTGTTATAAAAATATGACCAAATAAATTTTTGAGAACTTTATATAATAGAAAAGATACTGAAATGTTTTGTTAAAAGAAAAAGATGCTCATGAAGTATCAGAAAGAATTTGAAACAAAAAAGGTGGAGATATTTCCATTTTGTGATCTACCATGCCAACTACAATCGCCAAGGCAGCAGATTTTTATAAGGATAATTTAATAATAATAAAAAAACATGTAAAGATTTAAGCTACCAGTTCTACTCTTCGGGTTGATCCCTTTTTGTGATGTTTTTTTCTTGATTCTCGCCGGTCACTGTCAAGACTTAGTGATTATTCTGCCACAGATTACAATATGGAAATCTTCCCTAAATGGCTTCGGGCCAGGTGGCGAGTTTTAAAAAAAAAATTTCGGCACTTTGGCAATTGTAGTTTGCACAACAGATCACATTATGAAAAACCCCCACCACGTCGACTAATATACAAAAAAACATTTGCTTTATGAACAGGTGCAAAGATCCTAACCCCTTCTCATCCCAACACATTCTCAACCTTTCATAAACCCTATCAGGGTTGCCACTCAAATCTGAAAAAAAAAATTCCCTGTACATGTTATACGCAATATATTAAGAGGAAACAACAATTACTGTGCTCTCGTGTGAGCTATATTAGGCTAACTATATTTATTAGTTTCAATTGCTGGAAAAACAGCTGAACATACTTAAATAATGCTATGGTAAATGAAATAGTTTAGTATAGCTGAAGTATCATGGTTAAACATCCCATAGATTACGCTTTGAGTGGTCACCATTTTTTAAAAGACCACAATAAGAAAAAACAAAATTCCCTGTATTTTCCCAGTTTGTAAAGAAAAAAATCAAAATTCCCTGATTTTTAAATTTCCTGTATTTTCCAGGTTTTCCCTGTGGAGTGGCAACCCTGCCTATGATCTCCAACAGTTATTCAATTCATCTAGCAATCACGGGCGAGTTTCACGCAGTAATCTTGGGGAGATTTCTGTATCCTGCAGNGGATTTATCGTTTCTTAAGGGATACAAAAATAAAATTTTAAGAAAAAGTATTTTGTGAAACTACCGTTTTTCCTAAAATTGAATTTGTGAAACTACCGTTTTTCCTAAAGTTGAATTTGTGAAGGTACCGCTAAACGGTAGTAAATTCGGCCTGGACAGACCCCTGCTTTGGCAATTGTAGTTTGCACAACAGATCACACTATGAATGAAAAAAAACCCACCCTGTCGACTAATATATAAAAAAACATTTGCTTTATGAACAGGTGCAAAGATCCTAACCCCTTCTCATCCCAACACATTCTCAACCTTTCATAAATCCTATGATCTCCAACAGTTATTCAATTCATCTAGCAATCACGGGCGAGTTTCACGCAGCAATCTTGGGGAGATTTCCGTATCCTGATCTGTGGCAGAATAATCACCAAGTCTTGGCAGCTGTCTGCGAGAAACTATTAAAAAAACATCACAGAAAATGAACAACTCGTAGCCACACGGGCAAACATCTACAATGCTCTTTTTTCTTTTTAATTTGCAACTGTAGTTGTATAGGAAACTGTAGTTGGCACTAACAGATCACAATACAGAAATATCCCCTTTTCACAGCACTCTTATTTAAATTGATAGGGCTATAAGGGTTTAAACTCACCTGAAATGAAGGCCTTCTTTGTATATGTCATTTTTCACACCTCCAATTCGGCTAAATATAATGGCTCTGTGACCACCATCAACTAAAAGGCAATTTAGAAATATTAGAAGCAAATATCAGTCATTCCTTTTAAATCATATAGGGTAAAATCAGAATTATGGCCAAATGTCCACTTTTAAGCAGAGGGCTATATAAACCGATTATTTCAACCTTCATCTATCAAAAGATACCTCAAAATAGAATCAAGTTAACACGTCTTATATACTAGTGAATTGGTTTTCAACATTTATAGTGGTAGTTATGCCACATTACTCCCCTTCCAGAACTTTATCTATGATAGAATTCGATGAATAGATACCACTAGTTAATTCAAGCTGTTTATTTATTTATATCAATTTTGTTCATTATATTTTCTCTTCATTTTTTGTTTCATTATATTTTAAAAATTAAACAACAAAATACATAATGAGCATTTCGCTCATTATGTATTTTGTTGTTTAATTTTTTTTAGAGTATTTCGCTTATTACTTTTTCTTCTTTATTTTTGCTTATTGACCTGGAGATTTTATTTACTTCATCGGATTTTTTTCTTAGAGCTGTATACTTTTAAGTAAATCAACTGTTTAATGTGGATTATCCATCAATATAGGCAAGTTCTTATCACGTCTGAGGGTCCCCATTGAAGGGATTAAATCTTAGACTATATCAACCTTCATCTATCAAAAGGTACCTCATGATAGAATCAAGTTACCATGTCTTATATACTATACTAGTGAATTGGTTTTCAATACTTATAGAGGTAGTTATGCCTCACAATAACATAGTTGGTCGAACAAATTTCAAACTATTTAAATACTTACTCATATTAATTTATTGATAGAAATGCAATATAGTTAAAAGTAGATTGCAAAAATTTTGAAACAATACCAGAGATACATTTCCATCTTTAGGAAGCCGTCGATTAAGTCGTTAAAGCAGTTACTAAGCACAACCTTTTTATATGACTGCTATAAATCATAAATAAAAATAAATATTAAAAGTATGCTAAATTACTCGAACCTACATGAGATATATCAAGTTCTGAGCGATGCTGTATCAAGCAATAAGAAAAAATTGTGTTCCAGCAAATAATAAAAATAACAGTGATGTATAGAAACTAACATAACTTTGGTATCAAATGTCACAAATTGATACTTAATGCCACAATACTTAAATTTTCGATAAATACCGTACTTACCGGTGTAAACAGACTGAGAAGCCCCATAAGCTAAACCTCCAGCAGCTATTAGAAGTTTTAAGCCAGTCGCAATTCCCCCACCGCTGCCTTTTGGTATGCGACTAGCAAAATCTTTCCACTGCGACATTTTATAGATATTTTTAATATTATTTACACCAATAAATTTTAAAAACTAATTTCTTATGTAATTACTCAGTTAAGATTTCAGGAGCATGTACAATGAGTCACAGTCACAGCTAAAATATGAAAACAAAATTTTATCACTTAGGAATCATTCTTACTGCAGACAGTTTACGCATCTCCAATCGTAGCCGAGGATGAGATGTTGTTGCTGTTAATTTACGTCCATGGATCCTACTCTAAACTCCATGTTTACGTCGCACTAGAGCTGCACAATAGGCTATTGGCGGCGGTCTAGGAAACATCCCGGAGGATGATCCGAAGACATACCATCACAATTTTGATCCTCTGTGGAAAAGATGGCATCCCCGCTTCGGTAGCCCGACGACCTGCGCGCGAAGTCGAGCACTTTACGGTAGCACAGTTTAACGAGGACCAATACCGTACACCCTCGGTCCCTACGCAGACTGATTCAAGTGGTCACCCACCCGCACACTGACCGCAGCCAGTGATGCTTGACTTCAGTGATTTGCTGGGAACCGTGTCTTAACGATCAGTCCGAGGATGAGTAAGACCCTGATTAAGAGCAATATATTTAACCAGAAAAAACTCGCCAATCAGGTACTCCTTTTCCTTTCATGATGATCAGAGTTGTGTGAATTACATACAAGGAAAATGAAACTTTAGTTTATTAATTTTTCGATATAGATGGTTGTTTGTTTACGTTGCACTAGAGTATCATAATTCGCGACGATCTGCGATACATCTTTGGGGAAAATCCGCAAACATACCATCACAATTTTGATTCTCTGCAGATTCTTTTAATAGCGTCGCACTAGAACAACTGAATGGGCTATTGGCAATGGTCTGAAGATGATCCGGAGATAACATACACACGCCGTATTAGGTAGGACACATTCACACACCATCCAACCGACGATGGTAATTTTGTCCTGAATCAGACCATGATTAATCTCCGATCCAGTACCCCAAGGTTATGAGAGCTTGGAGGATTTTGTGACCCCGACAGATTTTCCATGCACCAGTAACCATTTTGCACACAGATAGTCTTCGGCCGTTGGGGATCGAACTCACGACCTATCGGACATGGACCCAACAGTCTGCCAACTAGGCTATCCCCCCGTGATATAGAGGGAAAACCGTATAAGGCTAAGTACAGGTGGTGCTAAGAGCTAATGTTCGTCGTAAGAATTCCGGGTTTCCTACCACTTATTTTTACACCTAAGTTTGACAAAGTACATCTTCCGATATCAATACACTTTGTAGGGTTTGCAATATAACGCCTTCTTTCATTTTAAATTTAGTTTAATTTGTTTGATCTTAGCTGAAAACAAATTTGGACAGCTCTTGAAGCATGCAGCCCAAAATATATCTAACAGCGATGCTTTACGTAAATGTCGACAAATAAGGGATAACACACTAAAACGGCAAACCTCATGCTTTATTTATGTTTTCAAATTAATTTTATTAAATTTATTTAAGGATGAAGGGGACGGATTAACCATTGAGCATACTAAGCACGTGCGTGCACCAGAGATTAGGGAGCCTTCATAAAGCACCAATGGAGAAAAAAAAAGTATAAATTTATATTTTTTTACACATTTTAATTCGATTCTAAGCTCTTATTCAAGATCATGGTTTAAACTAAATTACTGTTGTATTATATTTATTTCAACCCCACGGAGAAGAAAAAAGTTTTGTATTGCCGGTAATCCATCACAAAATGACCAATACTAAGGACCCGCATACATTGTCGAGAACATATATTAAACGCGTCGGATAGCTGAGGCCAAAAATACAAAACTAGAGCAGAGAAGAAACTCTGCAATAACTGTATATAAACAAGAAACTCTGTATAAACAAGTGTAACGAATTGATTTACTACAGTCAAAGTATCTGTGGGGTGTATGTTATCGACAACGTCAACCTTCATCAATGAAAAGGTATCCCACCATAGAGTCGTGTTAACATGCCTTATTACTAGTGAATTGGAATTGTATTTTTGTAGTGGTAGAAACACTACAGTATCCGTTTCATCTCTGAAACATCTTGGGGACAGCTAATTTCCCTTCTATACTTTTGCCTTATTTCAGCGAAAAATGCTATTTTTCTATATACTTTGTGAGATTGTTGTTGTTAATTTACGTCGCACTAGATCTGCACAATAGGCTATTGGCGACGGTCTGGGAAACATCCCGTAGGATGATCCGAAGACATGCCATCACAATTTTGATCCTCTGCGGAGGGGATGGCACCCCCTCTTCGGTAGCCCGACGACCTGCGCGCGAAGTCGAGCACTTTACGGTAGCACAATTTAACGAGGACCAATACCGCACACCCTCGGTCCCTACGCAGACTGATCCAAGTGGTCACCAAGTGGCACACTGACCGTAGCCAGTGATGCTTGACTTCGGTGATCTGCTGGGAACCGTGTCTTAACGATCAGTCGACTGCGGGACCTTTGTAAGATTAGCTTGGAACTTTTGAATTATTGTTCGTTCACCAGAAGTTGGCATTTGGCTCCGCCTTCCTCACGTAGTATCCGGCGATACTATTTCGCTATTTTTGGGAGAAGGATGAGAACAATTCTGAACAAGGTTGATATTTGGTGATCGCATGTCAAAAATATTTATCTCGCAATCTTTATGTGCGTTCTTCTAACATGAAATATTTCATAAATTTGATGGTATTTCTCTCTTTTGAGTGAATAGTTCGTCCTTTTTGAGACATTTTGTTGGGAAAACAGTAGTTTTTAAATTTAATGTATATTTCATTAGCTAGAGTAACGAAAGTTATAATATCAGATGATAAAGCACAGTAAGTGACTGAAAAAGAATTCCTTGCTAGCGTTTGGCGCGCATTAAGGGTTGTCTTAATTTCAAGCGTGGAGATGTTTCTCCTCTCACTCCCATACTGAAATAAACTTTTCGACCGAGGAGGTGGTTGGAGGTGGCCAACTCCTGGTGAACGAACTATACTCTTCTTAGTGGCGACTTCCGTAACAGAAAAGTGGGAAGGCTAATAAGAGATTGCCTGATTGACATATTTTTTTGAAGCCAATTATATGATTAGAAGCTACATCAATAACAATTTTGCCTATAGTTCGTTCACCAGGAAGTTGGTACTTGGCTCCACCTCCTCATATACATAGTATATGATTCCATTTACAAAGGCGTGTCTTATAATTTGTGCAGGTACTGTAATTAAAGCCAGTTTAGTATGAACTAAAAAAGAGGTTGCTCAAAGCTAGTTAGTTTAACAAGCTCATAATTTCTCCATACTTTAATTATTTTATATTTTAATAACTTTTTGCATAACTTTAATAGTGATGCTTTGTGAATTCTTTAAATATAAAGCACGACAGGAAACAGATAAAAAAATAGTTGTAATATTTAATAGTGGAGTGCATTGTTTAAAGGAAAATTATTAATCACTTTAAGTTAAATATTTAAAACATTTTTCTATGCATGCATTAACCTTTGCTCGCTTGCTTTCGTATGCCTGTTTAGGCAGAGGGGTGCGATTGTTCTTGTTTTCCAGTGGAGCCATCAATGACCAGGAATTCGACTTCTGCCACACCATACGTCACACCCGCTTATAGGGCCCATTCATACATCCATTCATTCATCCGCAGATCGTAATTTTGATCTGAATCAGAGAATCGGTCTCCAATCCAGTACCCCCAGAGGTATTGATTTGTTATGGGAACACGGAGGACTTTGCAACTTGACAGATTTAACGTGCATCAGTCACCATTTACTACACGGGAAGTCTTCGGCTGGCGGGGTTCGAACCCACGAACTCCCAGACATGGGCCTAGCGCCCTCAATGCATTAAAACATTTCTAATCTATCTTTAAAATCATAATTGAGAACAATATAAAACTTCTCAAAATAATATTAGATTATTTATGCATTTGAAAAATCCTAAAATCAATATAAAATACTAATTAAATGGCTGAGTTACTCATCCTATTAACTTAAAAATTGGTCTGTATCAGTTGAATTAGTTGGAAACAGTCATTTTTAAATTTTAAGTGATTTAAAATCTTTTGTTAAGGTGAGGAACGGGAGCTTTTATTAATTGATTAAAACTAAATTTCTGGTGATTTGCATGTACCATATTATTACACGCACTATAAGATTCTACGTAATATTATAATGTAATATTATGTACGTTATATTATATATGATGCTATACAGCTGTATTGTTTTTACTCGGAAGAAACTTGTTTGCATTTGTTTCCGCTTCTGTATCAATGGGTTAACATTGTTATGCAATACGTTAAAAATAAATACAAATAGGAAGTACATAAAAAAATCTACTGAATAAAAACCTATTACATGTATGTTTAAATATAAAGGTATTGCATATAAACTCGTGCAAATCATGTCATTATTAAAAAACTGCGATGGGTCTAATTATTATAATATACTAATGTAATACCTGATATAATAAACATTTTATATTTATATAAAATATCGTCCAATTTATATTATACACCGTCTAATTGAACCCATTGATACACTAACGTAAACAAGTGCAAACCGGTTTCAGTCGCTTGAGAACAATAAAGCTGTATAGTATCACCTGATAATTAAGATTTTACATAGAATCTTATAATGCGTCTAATAATTTGGCCAGGGACTGTAAGTTTAAAATTCTTTAGAATTGACTTATTAATTTTTTTTTAAACTTAAATTGTTTTCGGACTTAAGAAAGCGTAATCGCTGGGGCGCAATTACTGAACATTTACCTGTATATACAATGTAATAACATTGCTGATTGAAAACAAAAAAATATCAATTCAACCTTTAAATTGGTTTAAATTCTTTCTTGAAAATACATATCTTTTTATGCTAAGCGTGGTACATAAAAAATCAAATAAATGAAATGGACAACAAAATGAGACAAAACATTTAAAACATTTTATTCATAAATTAAAATACATGAAAATGAAAGTGATGAAGAAATTCACATTCTCTTGTCACAAATATATGTGCGTATCAAATTTTGTAAACATAGAGGAAATGATGCACAATGTTTATTACACTTACTAAATTTTAGTACAATACTATGACAAAAAAAAGAAAAGAAAAGAAAAAGCAAATCATATATCTGTTTGAATGATTTAGATACAAGGTCAAACTTTTTATTACGATAAAATAGAGATTTTAGTATTTTTTTAATAATTTATTTTATTCAATATTTGAAGAATAATAAAATTTAAGCTGTAAAGATTTTTTCTTGTAGTTTATAAAAAATGCAGTCCGTTAGAAAAATATAAAAATATGGACGCAATGTTTAAATTAGACGATATTGATATATGCATGGACTTATGAAATATTAAAAAACCCAAAAAGAAATGTTGAGAGCATTAAATTTTTAAGACAGTCTTGAATTCTTTTCATAAAAATTAAATAAAATTTAGCATTAAAGAGTAAGCTGAAAAAAAGCGTGTTTTTTTTTGTTTTCTCAATTTTGGATGCCGAGAAAAAATGTTTATTTAAAAATGAGTTTTATTGAGCATTTAAAGATATGTTATATTGAGGCATAAAATGCTAGAAAAAACAAATGGGAGGTGCTATTTTTTTTATAAATGTCTTAATGTGTTTAAATTTTTGAGTTCAAATCAAATCAATAATCTTACTATCTTTCTACTTTAATTGAAAGTAAATTTCGATATGTTTTGGGTTGAATTTTTTATTTTAACACTTATTCACAGACGTAGTTTCTTTCGTTATTAAGCATAACTGGCGTCAGAAAATTAACAAAATTATTTTTCAAGAAAATAGCAAAAAACAGTTTTAAACGAACATAAAACAAAATTTCATCAATTTCTCGGTTTCTTTTTCTTAAATTTAAAAGCTACGCCATTTGTTTGCCATTCATATCACTTTCTTCATCTTTTTTTTAAAAATCGATTTGTTATAAGTCAGTATGCTCTAAATCAATGTACTCAACATCTAAATAGTTGGCATTCAAAATACTTTAAATTAAGCTGTTCTTAAAAAAATAATTAAAATGAAGTGCATATTTATGAGAGAAAAATAATTATTAAATATAAATTTTTAATCTGAGTCTATTTTGGCTCTATGTTCGTCAATATTTACATTAAAAAGGTTTCGTCGATTTTTATAAATAAAAAAAAAAGATATTTTAGAAAACTTATAGCTATAAATATTTCTTATTTGGCAACTTCATAGTTTTTCTTTGTCCGAGATGCATATTTTCTGCGCCGTATCTGACATTGACTTACTGTACTATTTTCTACGGTTCCCTTAACAAAAAAGTGTTAAAAAAAGATTACTGCTAATGTAACTAGTTCATGCAAAAGTTGTTTTTTTTAATAAAAATATTTATTATACAAGTCTTTACATAGCTTAAATAATTCGATATAAATCAAAATTATTCAACAAATTTTTTTAAATCACTTTCAGGTTTTGCAGATTTCATTTAAATTTCACAATTTTGTATACTTAAAACTTTGGTTTCAACCAGTTTAGCCATGAAGTTAAAGAGTCAAACTATCAAATGTAGATGAAACTATAAATATTGAAATGAAAATGACGTGAATTAAAAGCTGCAAATTAGAGCTGCCAGATGTGAACAAATGAATGTGTGTATGTGTGAATGAAAAAAAAATGAATATAATTAAAAACAATACGATTCCGTAACAAATCTAAATGTTCACTTAAAATGCGACATTTTTCTGTAGTTGGAACTAATGATGTGGTTTTAGAAAAAGAAAGAAATTGAAAAAAAGAAAACCTTAAAAAAAAANAAAAAGAAAACCTGATATATTTAAAAAAATCCAGATTAATCAGAGAACTTTCTTATTTTAGTCTTATTTAAGTCTTTTAATTCCTAGATCTCAATAAATTACGGATCCAAATGATAGTCTCGGACCGTTTTTAGGGGAAGAATGATCAAAGCGTCTTTTAGGCATAAAACGGTCGTTCCGTAACTTAAGAAAACCTGTCTTTTGGGAGCAAATTAAAATGCGGAATACGCAGTTTCTATGAAGCAAATAATGTCCCTATTTTAAAAGTTAGGAAATTTTTAAAAATCCCCCAACCCCTAGATGAAAAGGATCAAATTTATAGAAAAATTCTTAATTTTTGCAAATTTTTGTGATCGTAAATAATGGAACGTTAGAGTGACTTTTTAAGTATAAAAACATTAGATAAAAAAAAAAGACTTCATTTTCACAAAACTATGGCTTTTCTTCATAATGGCGTCTTGCGCCATTTTCAAATTTTAACTTGAAATTGTAACTTAAGATAGACCAAATTGAACTAACAGTCATTAATAACTGTTAGAAATTTACAGCAGTTCTGGAAATAACATATCTTTTGCAAAAATAAGGTATTTTATACTGAAAGATAGTAACTTAAGATAGGACAAATTTGAACTACCAGTCATTAATAACTGTTAGAAATTTACAGAAGTTATGGAAATAACATATCTTTTGCAAAAATAAGATATTTTATGCTGGAAGATTGCGAACAAAAAATTAAAGTAAGGCACAGTCCTTCATTTACTACTGTTAACTTAGAAAACTTAAATGCTCAGTTATAGTTCGTTCACCAGAAGTTGGCACTTGGCTCAGCCTTCATTCACGTTGTATACGACGATACCATTTGGCTAATTTTGAGAGAAGGATGTGAACAATCCTGAACAATGTTGCTATTTGGAGATATTCATTTTTTTATTTATCTTCATCAAAATATTATATCAAAATAATTATCTTTATGTGGTTTTTTTTAACTTTTTATATTTCATAAATTTGATAATATTTCTCTCTTTTGATTGAATAGTTTGTCTTTTTTGAAACATTTTGTTTGGAAAACAGCAGTTTTTAAATTTAGAATATGTTTAATTATCTAGAGTAACGAAAGGTATAATAGCAGATGATAAAGTAAAGCAAGTGACTGAAAAAAAATTCACTATTTGCGTTTGGAGCGCATTAAGGGTTGTCTCAATTTCAAGTGCGGAGATGTTTCTCGCCAAGTGCCAACCCCTGGTGAACGAACTATACTCAAATTCACTTAGATCACTCTGCTCAATTGTATCCTTTAAACCAGTTCGATTGCTTTTTAGAACGTTAAAAATCTCATCATTGGACAGAAAATTAGATGAGATGATTATTTTGTCTCACTGTATGACGTGATATTGAGGTATTTAAAATCCAGCGATCATATAGCGCACAGTAGAGGCAACAGCCGCAACAGCAAAGAACAAATAGGAAACACCCACTCGTCCAGCAGCTTTATTTTCGGTTGCGGTGAGTGGCAGCCTGTCACCGATCCTCTGGCAGTGTTGCTTATTTCTACCAATGCAGGCTGCGTATGCCATGACATGAGCCACGTAATTTTGTTCTACAACTCCCCTGAACAGGTGAGCCATGGGACCTGTAGCGTAGATCGGTACATCCTCACCACCATGTGTCTCATCGGACATGGGAACCAGCGCATCTTGGAAAAAGTTCTTGGAGCCTGAAAGAGGTATTTTTCTTTTTTTAATCAACCAAAATATCACAGGATATACACTGAAGAGCCAAAAAAACTGGTACAGGCATGAGTATGCAAATAAAGGGGTATGAAACCAATCAAAGTACAGCGTTGCGATCGGCAACGCGTATATAAGACAACGAGTGTCTAGCACAGTTCTTAGATCGTTTACTACTGCTACAATGCCAGGTTATACAGATTTAAGTGAGTTTGAACGTGGTGTTATAGTCGGCGCTCGGGAGATGGGACATAGCATCTCCGAGATAGCAATGAAATTTGGACTTTCACGTACGACCATTTCACGAGTATACCGTGAGTATCGGAAATCCGGTAAAACATCAAATCTACGACATCGCATACATATTTGGGATACCTTGCAACGTGATGTTCAGAAGATATCCTCACCCCCTCTTACTCCTACTGGTTTATGGACAGCCCTGCAGGATTCGTGGTGTCAATTATCTCCAGCACTACTTCACACTTTGATCGAATCCATGCCACGTCGTGTTGCGGCACTTCTGCGTGCTCGCGGGGGCTCTACGCGATATTTGACAGGTATACCAGTTTTTTTCGGCTCTTCAGTGTACAATCTAACGCAGTTTAAAATTTTTATTTATTTTATAACCGTCGTTGAACCCAGTTTTTTTTTGGATTTATGATTTCTAATATTCAAGCCTTGTAATATTGAACCCAATCCAGAAGGCAAGAGAAATCTCATGGATCAAGTATTGGGAGAAATTTGCCTTCATGGAAGATTTTTTGATGGAAACTAACCCGCATTTGCGTTACAATGATAATAAAACCACGAAAACAAACTTCATTGAATATGATGTCTTCAGGAGAAACATCTCCGAACTGATTGATTTTAATGGTTGAATTGATTTTAATGATGTGATAAATCCTATCGACCAGCCATAGCTGGGATTTGAACTCGGTTCACCTCCTTGTAAGACAAACACTCTATCCTCTGAGCTATCACGGCAACGTTCAACTACGTAATTACAAGGCTACGTAGTTGAAGATTAGTTGCCGTAAACCCAAAAAAATTGGGTCGGCTGTTCAACGACGGCTATAAAAAAATCATAGTCGCTTTTGTAAATATCCGAAATATATATAAGGTTTAGGTAAGTGCCACTGCCTGGTGCACGTTTGCCCGGTATGCCCTACAGCAATGTTTTTTTAAGGTCAAGTGCCACTGCCCAGATAAACGGTACTCCAAACACTGACGTTTCTCCTAATTTATCTTCAGCAGATATTAAAAATTATAATATCAACGATTTAATTAATATCAAATCGGATATCTATACATAATAATAAAAGCGGCTGTGTGTGTGTGTGTGTGTGTGTCTGTAATCACAATATATCGCCCCAGAAGCCTCGCCCAGGCACGAAACTTGGCACATAATTGTGTTTTGACATAATGAAGAAGTATTTTTTTTCTTTTTCAAAAATTTTGATTAGTTATTTAGTTATCAGTCATTTTGTAAGTCTATGCTTTTCGTCTGCTTTTTCGTCTTCAAAGAGCCATATTCAAAAAACTATTAAAAAATGCATATACTTTTCCCCACTCTTATAAATGTATGCTAATGCGAACCTTACAATTGAAATATTAATTTTCGACAACTTAAACCAATAATATACGAAGGAATTAATAATTTAATTGTAAGGTTCGCATTAGTTTACATTTATCAAAGTGGAGAAAAGTTTAACTTTTGTATTAAAGATGTGGCAACATATTCGATACGTAAATAGAACGCTTCGCTTTGATATATTTGTCGCTGTTCATAATTGTTATAATAAGTTTTTCTTCTTCTTTACACGCTCTATTTTTTTTTCTTAAGCGAAGACGATAATTTTTGTAGCGATATAGATATAGAAATTGATACAATAAAAAATTACAGTGGGTGATCGGTTAACGAACATAATTCGTTCCAAAACTATGTTCGCTATCCGAATTGCTCGTTAACCGATCATCGATTCACCATAGACTTCTATGTGAAATCGATTAATTCGTTCTGGAGACCCTAAAAATTAAATTTTAAAAAATGTATAATTTCTTAGTAAGTATTTAAAAAAAATAATACATGCATATAGTCTTGAATATTAATCAGTCCTTTTCATTTTTTGCTCATGGGGCGTTGAAGAACATGTCCAATGTCGATTGCTTTTCTCTCTTTTTCAGGATTTTCCGGAAGTAATTAATAGCATTGTCGTTGTAAAGATCCCCCACTCTACTGACATCAACTTGGTTTGGGTGCCATTCTAAAACCATTGCTCTGACATCTTCCCACTTTTTCAAAAGATCTTTAATGGCAGATGTCGGCATTGGTCCTCTTTCGTCTTCCTCTTGTTCAGAAGGAGACACATTTCGCTGTGTCTCTTGGTGTTCTTAATTCAAAATTTCTTGGAGTTCTTCCGTCGTTAGTTCATCTTCATGTCCCATTATGAGCTCTTCTATGTCATTCTCGTTCACCTCTAATTCCAGATCTCCAGCAGTTGTCAAAATTTCATCCATAATTTCAGGGGTGTCTCCCTGGTCACCTCCGTCTCCTTGAACGAAGGATGGACACAGCTTCCGCCAGGCAGAAATCAACTGTCGCTGTGTGACTTCTGACCACGCCTTTTGAATGATGCGAATAGATTCAAGAATGTCAAATTTTTTTTCTCCAAAACTTTTTTAAAGTCATTGTTGAGGAGAATCTGCTTGCTTCAAAAGACCGACGAAACAGCTCGCGAGTGTACAATTTCTTGAAAGCCGCAATAACCTACTGATCCATCGGCTGATTCAGCGAAGTCGTATTCAGAGGTAAAAACTGAACTGTCAGCCAGGGAAAGTCTGTCAACAAATTATCTTCAAGATCCTTTGGGTGTCCTGGTGCATTGTCCAATAGCAGCAACGGCAAGTCATTGGTATCAAGGTAGTCTTTGATGCTCGGGGCACAAACTTTAAATAGCCATTCTTTGAGAAGATAATGCGTGATCCATGCCCTCTGATTCGATCTCCACATTACTGGCAGTTTGCTCTTAATTATGGAATTTTTTTTTAATGCTCTGGGATTCTCAGAGTCATAATTCAGGAGAGATGACAAATGTTTTTTAGTCCGTTTCTTATATTTCACGTATTTTTACGGCGGTAGCGCGTCATCGGCACCTTTATATTTTATAGTCTGCACTGCTTGAAAAAATTAAGAATTCGCTTAATTTATTCGCCATGTCAGCAAATCCACTCGCCCATAACTTATCAGCTGTCAGAAAATATTGATATTCATATTGAAATTGAAGTTTTCAAGTGTGTATTGATTTTAGTCATAATAATAATTATTGAATGACCTTTAAATTCATTGTTAATTCAAGTTTCATTTAGTAATTATTAATACTAAGCATGCTTTAAATATTTCTCCTTTCAGTGATCTTTATTTTGTATGCAAAATGATAATAAATGTTTAATATTAATTTTTTTTCAGGCCAGGAAGTGTTCGTTAGAATTCGTTTTGTTCATTGTTCGAATATGCGTTCGTTGTCCGAACACAAAAAATCTTTCTTGAAAGTGTTCGTTATCCGAATATGTGTTCGTTACCCGAACACAAAAATCTTTTGTGAAAGTGTTCGTTAACCGATTTGTTCGTTAACCGATCTGTTCGCTAACCGATCACCCACTGTATATAGAAATAGAAATTGATACCATAAAAAATTAATTCGTTTTCGTGTTCTTTTCATGTATTTAGCATTTTAGTTGTTTTTTCTTAAGCATTGTAGCTATATAATATATAAAATAGGAATTTAAGACAAAATTGCAGGACAGGAACACTTTAATTGTCCACTAATCTTCAGATTTCCTGCTATGTTTTAAAAAACTTTATTTGTGAAAATCTTTAGCGTGGCGGACAGCTGGCCGCCTCAGGCGGCTAGTAACAAATATTTCGGTCATTCACAAAAAAGTGACTATGTGATTGTCAACATTCACCGGTGGAAGTGAACAGTCACCCATTTCAGCCATTCCCAGATACACTTTTCGAAATTTACTGTATTCATCGTTTAACAGGCGAATGTTTAGTTCCCCAATAATAAACTGCTAAGATATCTTGGAAAGCACACAGAAGATACGACGAACAAACACAGTACTTTCTGTACATCTAAGAAAAACAGTATGACAAAACGCGTATGCAACGAGGCTATTCGTAGTAAGCACGTTTTTATTTAATTTTACAACCGTCGTTGAACAGCCGACACAATTTTTGGTTTACGACAATTGATGCTCCGTAGCCTTGTAATTTTGTGCCAATCCAGAAGACAAGGATACTCCAGGATCAGTACCCCTAGAGGTATGAGTTGGACATGGAGGACTTTGAGACTAGACAGATTGAACGTGCATCAGTCATCGTTTACTAGACGGGGAGCCTTCGACCGACGGGGATTGAACCCACTACCTCTCGGACATGATCACAACGCCCTACCAACCCGGCCATTAGTAAGCACGCTTAAAAACATAAAAAGTACCGTGTATTACTTCGCAAAAAAATACTCCATGCCTAGAATCTTATGTTTAATTTAATGAAAACTGAAATTACAAAAAGTGTGAAAGATAATTTTCTTTAACTGCTTCTCTGATTATCCCGAGTTAATTCGGGTATGTATACATCGCAAATATTTATAATCCCGAGTAAACTCGGGCATAGCAGAATTCGTCAATACGTTTTGTTTTTATCACGTTTTTACTCGGCAAGCAAAGCAAAAACATATTGATAATCTGCTGTGCTTGGAAGTTTGCCAATTTCTGTTTGGGAGTTTTGCTATTTGTGGAACTGCACACGCGTTTTGTGCAATCGAATATAAGTTCAATCGAATAAAGTAAAAAGTAATGCAAGAGATTTTTCAGATGATGAAAATGTAAACATATACAAAGACTAATATTTAACTTTTTATCATTTGCCCGAGTTAATTTGGGATAGTGAGCTAATGGTAAATTAAATATTTTTTGCACATAAAAAAAATTAAAAGTTCAACTTAGAACTTGTGTATGTTTTGCTTTAGCTCCTTGTAATTATTAAGGAAATAAAAAAAATATGTTGATTTTCTGCATTTTTTTCTTCAAAAAAATTGGCAAAGGAAGCTGTTTAGAAAAAAAAATTTTTTTTTTATTGAGCTGTTTTAAAAAAACTAAACTAAATACGCGCCAATATCTGTAGAAAACAGGTTTTGTTTGGAAGGCAAAGAATAATTGCTGATACAATCAAAACATTAAGATTCGCGCCTTTATTTCCTAAACATCATTACACTATTTTCTACATTACTTACAATAGTGCTTATGATAAATCGATAGATGGAGCATGTATAATGATTAAATTACCGACTAATATTCGTTATCTTAGCACATCTAACAAGATATATTTATGACAAACCGGCAGACGTAATTGACGTTTCAATAAAGAACAAGAACTAATTCTCTCGGGTTTCTTTTCTTCCGTCGTCTCTGATTAAAGAAACAGGAATAAAGAAGTGTTGATTCAGGGTCAACAAACTAATGAAGTATCATTGCCCAACAGCCAAATTCATAAGAGAGAATAACAATTTTTTTTTCGTTCTTATATTTTTGTTCTTGATAAGCTGAAGAAGGAAAAAAAACAATAATGTGTTGCTTTTAGATATTTATCAAAGTGGTGGAAATCGTTTGACTCTTTCATAATAATAAGGAAGTGGAATCCATAATTTCTAATTTGGTAAAGAAGCATTGCGACAATGTTTTCGGAATGTTTAGTCCCTGGTCAAATTGTTAGACGCACTGTAAGATTTTATGTAAAATATTAATTATCAGTTGATACTATACAGCTTTATTGTTTTTACGTGACTGTTTGCATTTGATTTACGTTCGTGTATCAACGGATTAACATTGTAATGCAATACGTTAAAAATAAATACAAATCGGAAGTATATAAAAAATCTCCTGAATAAAAACCCATCACATGTATGTTTAAATAAAAGAGTATTGCATATAAACTCGTGCAAAGCATGCCATTATTAAAACACTACAGTGCGTCGAATAATTCAGTCTAATTATTATAATATACTAATACCTGATATAATAAATATTCTATATTTATACAATATATCGTCTAATTCATCCAATCTTCGAATTTACATTATATATCCTCTAATTTATCCAATTGATAGACGAACTAGTGCAAACAGGTTTCAGTCACGTAAAAACAATGTTATTGTTGACGTGTGCCTGTTGAGGCAGAGGGGGTGCGATTGTTCTTGTTTTCCAGTGGCGCCATCCATGGCCAAGAATTCAATTTCTGCCACACCGTGCGTCGCACCCGTTTTATACATCCATTCATTCATCCACAGATCGTAATTTTGACCTGAATCAGAGAACGATCGATCTCCAATCCAGTACCCCCAGAGGTAGTGATTTGTTATGGGAACATGGAGGACTTTTGCAACTCGACAGATTTAACGTGCATCAGTCACTATACTACACGGGGAGTCTTCGGCCTTCTGGCTTCGAACCCACGAACTCTCGGACATGGACCCAGCTCCCTACAGACCAGGCTATCCCGACCTTTACGTAAAAACAATAAAGCTGTATAGTATCACCTGGTAATTAAGATTTTTACATAGATTCTTTTAGTGAGACTAATAATTTGGCAAAGGATTGTATGTTCACTAGGATGAATAGTTATAAGGGTTCTGCGTCAATTCGTCGGGCATTCGTCTTTCGTCGAAAATTTCGTCAACTATTAACAATGTTTTTTTTTATATTAACAATGTATAATGTACTACAATTGAAATTTAGCATATGAAAAATGCGTTATATTAAACATACATTTTCATTAAGCTACATTAGGGCACAGTTTATTATACTGATAGTTATTTATTGACTATCTAAAATAGTTGCATTTAATTACGAAAGCAAGAACGTGTTGTCTTTCACAGCACAGCGATTGTAAACGAACAGCTGATGAACACGCGTGATGTCAATTCGTGAATAATCACGTGACTACTTTATATGAAAAAGAAAGTAAGTGTTTTTTGCTTAAAAATAACTTAATAAATAGCATTCTTAGGAACGTAATGAGATATTTTCTGGGAGTTATGAGGGATTCTCTGAATGCATTAAGATTTTAGAAAAAATATCGGTAATTGTCCATTTTTCTTGATTACGATGAAATACATTTCAGTCCAGTAATTATAAAAATAATAAAATAAAAAAAAAACGTTCGCTTGGAAAAATTAGCACCAAAAATATTTTTTGACGAAGTTTAGTTGTCTCATTATAAATGATGCCAGAAAACTCCCTTACTCCCCTCTGTAAGCTCCCTTTTTTTAGGGTAATTGGGATGAATTGAGAAGCGAGCAGGAAAATCCAATTTCTTCCAAACAAGCGAGGCAATGTTTCCGATTTATTTCTTTTACGTTGAATAGAATGAAACCAATAACGAGATGATCGAACTGAATAGTTTACAAGTTACATCGACTTGATGTACAAAATATACAAATTTGTATTTGTACCTATTTACGCATCTGGTATTGCTAGGTATCTGGTATCGAATGAAGGTACACAATAGTTTTTAGTTTATACAAAAATAAAATAAAAACAGCATTGCGAGCTTTGAAATACGCGTACTTTTTTTTCACTTGATTAAGTGAGATAAACTACATCGGAAACAATAACTCTCTAGTCTGCATACAAACATGTGATGCATATATAAGTGCAAGTACAAAATAGTACTTTTTGTACACAAAGCCCTTATAACTTCTTAACTATTTATCTCAATCAATTTAGCAAAAAAGAAAAGAAAAAGAAAAAAACGCTCGACTCCCAAAGAGGTGTACCGAGTTCGAATCCCAGTGATGGCTGGTTGATACGGATTCCGCCCCCTGCAACGACCGCAGTGCTGACGTAAAATATTCTCGGTGGTAGACGGATCATGGGTGAGAGTCCCCTTGCCGTCAGTCTAACCGCGGTTTTCCTCTCCATGTATCGCAAATACAAAAAGTCCTCCAGGAAGGCAAATTTCTCCCAGTACTTGATCCCGGAGTTCCCTTAACTTCTGGATTGGGCATAAAATTAAAAGGCTACGGAGTCGAACATTTGTAGTCGTAAACTCAAAATTGGGTCAGCTGTTCAACGACGGTTATAAAATTTAGCAGTTTTTCAAAAAGTGAATAACAAAAAGCCACGGTTAGATATTCACGTGTCATATTATCGCATCATAAATATCTGGATTTTGAAGAAAAAAAAGAATCCCGGAAAAACGATCGAAATAGGACGTGAATTTAAGATAGAATCGGCGCAAATCGCCTGTAATTTATTAATTCATATTAAGTACTGAAACCACTAAATCGCCACTTTATGCGATTAGCGATTCGTCAAAAAATTCTCCACGAAGGCAAATTTCTTCCAATATTTAATCCAGGAGTTCCCTCATCTTCTGGACTGGGTTCAAAATTAAAAGGTTACGAAGTTGAACATTTAATAGTCGTAAACTTAAAATTAGGTCGGCTGCTCCACAACGGTTTTAAAATAAAATATTATGGCTACCTTTTATTTTAAAGTTAAAATACCTGAATCCGTCGAAGAAAAAATATATGTTTATTTAGAGAAAACATGTTTTTGTGTCTGGTTTCATAGCTATTGACTTATTGAGCATATTTGGTATATTCTTCAAATCATTAAGACTTACAATTTAGTACGTGAAAATCCAATGCCTGATCAAGAAAATGTAAATAATAAGGAAATATTATGCAAGATCAGAAAATATTAATGCCTGTGTAGGTCCAGAATATCTTACCAGTGTCTGTTTCGTTCAAATTTCTCCTTTTCCCGTTCACTATGTGATTGGATGGGCCATTGGTATACATGAGTGTCGTGTAGGTGAGATTGTCCTTGTTGGAGACACCGGCTAAGCCGAGAATAGGATTGCCTCGCTTAGGATACCCGTTGATGGTCAGGACGTGAGAGTGGTCAGCTGTGACCACTATGAGAGTGTCTTTGGGTGAGGTCATGTTGACAGCTGCTTGCACAGCGTCTGCCAAGGAGACAGTTTCTGAGAGTGCTCGTTTCGCATTGTTGAAATGGTGAGCATGATCTATTCTTCCACCTAGAATTAGATATTACATCAAGTCATTACGTAAATCAGACATTTGAGCAAACATGATTTAAAAATGAACATGCCAAATAGAACAAAAGTACACAAAAAGTCTAACTATCACGATAAACAATCACAATTGAATTTTTTGATTTCAGTTCAATTGTTAACAGAGATTACGTCTCCTTCATCGGGTCTAATCTTTATCATATTTAGCCAGAAGATAAGTGTTAGATAAGCCCTTAAAATTAACTCAACCATATTTCACCATGTGTTCGGAACTATTTAAGCAAATAAAAAAAAATTTTTTTGAGACGAAATTATAAAACTCGTTTATCTAAAGATAAATGTCCCGCTGTGGACTGATCGTAAGGACGCAGTTCCCTGTAGAACACCGAAGTCAAGAATCACTGGCTGCTGTCAGTAAGTGGGTGGGTGACAACTTCGATTAGACTGCGTAGGGACCGAGGGTACCGGACATGGTTAAACTGCTCTACCGTAAAGTGCTCGACTCTACGTTCAGATCGTTGGGCTACCAAAGCAGGGGAGCCATCCTCACTGTAGAGGATCAAAATTGCGGTGGCATGTCTTCGGATCCTCCTCGGGGATGTTTATCAGACCACCGCCAATAGCCCATTGTGCAGCTCTATTATGGCGTAAATAAAGTAATTACCTATCTAAAGATAAAACTAAATTTAAAAAAAACATACCTAACATTTGTTTCTTACTCAATACTGATTCAGAGTTGCACCCTTTGAGAAATGAACTGAAAGCATTCGATCTTCCGAAGATAAAAATGATGTTTTTGAACGCTACGCATGCTTCGTTACAGGTTGTGTATGGACCATGTCGGCTCACAAACTTTTATTAGTTAATAATAGTGAGAAACTTTTAGAAGTAAAGGGTGCGCAAATTAATAAAATGAATTAAAACAACAACATTTTAAATGACAAAATTCAAAGATTGAACTAAATTGGTTTAATTATCCTTCAGAAATGAAAATTTAAAAATACGATTTTATTTTTTTTTTAAAATTTGAGTACTCATTGTTCTCTGCAAGTTAAAGTACAACTTGTTTTTTGTGATGAAGAAAGTGAATTTAAGAACAAGAAATTTACAGGAAATGGGCACTAAATAGTTTTTGTTGGATCGAGGGCAAAAAATTTGCTTAAATTTAAGCAGGATTAATATATAAAACAAAAATAAGAAGAAACTCCCTTTTTAGAGAAAGTCTCACTTTTATGGAGAAAAATAGTCGTGGAAACAATGAAAGTGGCGTTGAGTTGTCGAACACCGAAATGGTGAACGAAAATCAGACACATGAACTACTCTTGTAACTGCGATGGAAGACTCAAAAAAGTGGTGCAAAAGGGGTAACAAAATACCCCCCCCCCAAAAAAAAAAAAAATTTTTTTTTTTTAAATATTTTTTTATTACATTTTGTTTTGTTATTACATATACTTTCATCTGTTAATTTTTTTTTCAAGATACATTTCTTCATTGTTAACTAGATATTTAAAAAAAAGTACGAATTTCTAGTATTTGCAAATTTTGCCACGAGAAACTGTACTGGTGGCGCTGGCATTGAAACACAAATAGCTAAAAACAGTAGTAGTGGTATACTAACATGTTTGTGAACGCTTAACATTGGTATTTATTGTGTTGATAAAGTTTTACAGTTGTGAGAAGTCAGTTTGTGTTTTACACCTTTGTTATACAAAATAACTAACAGAAAATATAATATTATTTACATTTTAATAAATGAAATTTAAAAATATAGCTTAGATATCTGCCAAGTTTGTGACTTGCGCAGTGTGCATAAGAAAAGAATCAAATACGACTCAGGATTCATTGAAAAAGTTATAAACAGATTTGAACAGCAAACAGGACGATTACAATTCTTGTTTGACAATTTTTTAATTGTTATGTATCTATAATTACTTAATTATTTGTTTTTGAATAAAAGTATTTTTAATAAAAAATTTTTATAACAAAATTGTTTTTCTGTATCTTTATTTGTTTAAAAAAAGCCAGGGGGTGCAAGTGCACCCTCTTGCACCCCGCTTCCGGCGCTCTTGGTGGCTGATGGTGTAGTAAATATATTTACCTTCAGCACTGTGATTTTTGAGAGCCGCAGGCGGAATTCGTATCAGGCAGCCATCGATGAGATTCGTACCCGGTTCACCTCATTGGAAGGCGAATGATGCTACTCAAGCAATATCATACGGTGCTAATTAACACAAATGTAGCCAAATAAGGGATAATACTCAAAACATGGCAAACATTACACTTTATTTATGTTTGATATTCATTTTCTCAAAATTTTTTTTGCTCATGACTTGCTAGAATTTGTAAATTACAGTAAAATCTTATAAATTATAAAATTACTTTTAAATTTTACAAAAATTACAATGATAAAACTTCCTAGAATATTAAGCCTGTTCACACCATAAGATAAGAGGAGGGATACACCGGAAGTTGTCTAAATTTTTTCCGGTGTTAAGAAGCTGGTTAACGTTTACATTCAGTTAACCATCCATTGTTTACATTCAGTCAACCATTTAGTTTGTCTACGGGAAGAACTCCTCCCCCCACAAAGCCTGAGACCCTCTGCTGCTAGGGAAACAAGAATAGCTCATTTCAGGGCGGGTAGTTTCTCTTTACTCTAGTGCTAACACAATAGATAGAGAAAAAGAGTCCCTTTCTCTCGCCGATCCGAGTAAAAACACCCCTACTTGAAATAGTTATATCTCGTTACCATAGTCACCGCCACGAGTCGAGAAGAATTACTAGGGGAGTTCTTGCATTAGACGAACTATAGGGTATTTTAGTTAGCGCCGTGTCTTAGTTGAGTCATATAGATTTATTTGTGTAAGTTGTATATTAGTTTGCGCAGTTGTATACCTTCGACCATTAGGAAGAAACCCTTATTGTTCTTCTGGAGAATGTTGATGGCTGCTTTTGTCATGTCTGTTATGGAGGGTTCTTCGTGTCGGTCCTTCTTCTTGTCCGCCTCGAACTGCATGTGATTGTGGTTGAACAAACCTTTAAAAAGAAAACAGGATTTCATTCAATACTCAGTCATGGATAGAGAGAAAGAGAACTTAAAACAAAGAAATACAAGACTCAATATTTTTCATGGTATTTTTTTACTGCTTAGATGTCACATTTATTTTTTTATATAAACGTCGTTGAACAGCCGATCCATTTTTTGGTTTTACGACTACCAATGTTCAACTCAGTAGCCTTGTAATTTTCAGCCCAATCCAGAAGACAAGGAGCTCCTGGATCAAGTATTGGGAACCTTCCACTTCCCGTCAACTATTCTGAGGCTTCAGATCAACTTTCTTCCAGACAACAGCTCATCCGATCAATGTTGCGTACTTAGTCGCGGCATTCAGAGACTATTTCCAAACATCAACCTTTCAGTTTAGATCAACTCACTCCGATACTCCAGCTATATCTAAACTCATTCTCAATGATACCGGCTCAGAACACACCTCTAGCAGCCATGATAGATCCTGTCAGCGGTAATGTTTCAACCCAACATTTCTCGAGCACGATCCGCACTCCCGTCGTACTACTTTTTCAGCCACTTTTCACGCCTCTTATACTTATTTCATCAAGGCGAAATAATCCATACTGACCTGTTTACTCGTTTAAAAGTCATCCCGCATCCAGTGGATGTCAGAACAAAAAAAAAAAAAAAAATCCACAAGAAAAACCAGCTACAAACCCACTAATACGCCATAAAAGCGATAATCCAATCCTCCTTAAATGTTAATACAATTTATATCCACAATCTACCCAAAAAATCCCATTTCAAAAGGATCAATAAAAATTTCTCATGAAATATCATAATTTTGATTGCATTTAAATTTTATCACAGTGGTGCCATCTATTGAAAAATAACCCTTCTTTAAAAAGTATTGATACAAAAAAAATACAATAAATTCCTATTTATTACAACGTATAAATACTGGTTTGACGATGATTTTAATATGAATGTAAATACTGAGGAAGAAAAAAGTATTTTGTGACACGTACATAGGCAGGATATGAAAAATCATGGAGAAAGAAAAATCATTTGACCAATGGCTAACCACTGATCGTAATAAGGCGATCACAATTTTTTCGCTGATTTTTATTTTTTTTAAATTTATTTCAACGCACGATGTCAAATAACACACGAAAATAAAAAAACACAGCCATTTCCTGAAGAAAAAAAAACACTACCCATATTTGTTTCTTACATTTTTATATTACTTTCAAACTAAATGGTTTCTCACCCAACACATAATCTACGGGAACTTTGTTGAGTGATGCTAATTCAGTCGCTGTTGTGATGAACTTTGCTCGAGAATTTCTGCTCTTTGAAAATTTAAAAATACGATTTTANATAAAACTTCCTAGAACATTAAGCCTGTTCACTTATCGCCTCCTAAGCCTAACATAAGCGGAGGGATACACCGGAAGTTTTCTTAATTTCTTCTGGTTTTAAGAAGCTTGTTATTGTTTACATTCAATCAATCATCCATTTGATCGACACGGTTGCACCAAACTCAATGGTTGCTTGCTTCCCTCTCCCATTTACACCTCCAATTCTGATGATTGGTTCCTTGCGTAATTACTCACCTATCGTTGAGTTCTTAACTTCAGGAAAATTTTGGTGTAAATTTGACAAACCTTTTGTTCTTTCTCAGGATTCAGACTGAAAACGAGAAAAAAAAACTGAAAACAGTCTTCTTGTCAGAAGTCTGTTTTCAGTCCTCGTATAAATGAATGCTTAATAATGTGTGCTTAGCCAAAAAACAAAGAGTCGTTTGGTCAGGGGTAGATGAAGACTTTTCCTACAATGACTTGGAATAAGGCTCTGATTTCCAGAGCTAAATTCTGAATGTTCATTCGGACTGCACTTTCTTCAAATCGTGAATGTCTCAGAATCCACTCTAGTGGTCTCCACTATTTTTAGAGCCGAAAAAAGTGCACGTGAGCGTCTTGTGGAGGTCGGGTGATTAGTCTGCCATTCAGTCAATCTTTTGATAGAGTAGTGTACTCATTGTTCTGAGAACACTATAAATACGAATCCCAGAGCCGTGTTGGGTGGGTCAGAGGATAGAGCGTTCGCCTTCCAATGAGGTTCGAATCCCAGCGATATGCAGGTCAATATGAATTCCGCACCCGGCTGGCATTGACCACAGTGATGACATAAAATATCCTCAGTGGTTGACGGATCATGGGTTAGAATCCCCTTGCCGTCAAACTAACCGTGGGAAGTTTTCGTGGTTTTCCTCTTCGTATAACGCAAATGCGGGTTAGTTCCCAAGAAAAGTCCTCCACGAAGGCAATTTTCTCCCATTATTTGATCTAGGAGTTCCCCTGTTTTCTGGATTGGGTTCAAAATTACAAAGATGCGGAGTTGAATATTAGTAGTCGTAAACCCAAAGAATTGGGTTGGTTATTCAACGACGGTTATAAAATAAAATAAAAATACGAATCCTAGAGCACAGTCATTAGCTCATAAGTGTACCTCTAATGCGCAGTTAATGTAATAGGCCGCATTACAGTAACAACTCATTAATCGTATTACATTGGAACATTTCTTATACGGTACATTTTCTACACTATAAAATGATTTAGTTTCAGTAGCAGGGTTCATCACCATAAAAAATTTTACTTTGAACCTGAAAAGACAGCCCCACCTTATAAAGGCCGACCATTCAAACATTTGAGAGGTCCCAATTTTCAATTTTATTGAACTAAAAACAGTTAGAAAATTTTAATAACAGAACAGTTGTATAATAGAAATATTCAAAGTGTCCCTGCATGGAGAGGATCTTTCGACTATGCAAACCTTCATCTATCAGAAGGTACTTCAAGATTGGATAGAGTTAGCATTTCTTATAGATTAGTGAATTGATATTTAATACTTGTAGTACCCCAAGTCAAAATTTTTGATGGTTTTCCATTGATGGACCAACATAGTCTTGATGGCAACCATGAATAATTCCATCAAGAACCATTATATTCTGTGATAGTTACCAACATAAGTAACCATCACCCCAATGTAGGAATTAGGACTTATTTATGATGGTCCAACACAAGAATAACAACTTGTTTTGATGGTTTGTTCATGCTGAGCCATCTGAGATTCCCTCATAGTTTCTTAGAAATCAAACGTTTGAACGATCATGAACCACCATCACCCCCATGTAGGAATTTGGACTCATTTATGATGGACCAACATAAAAAACAAACAAATTGTTTGGTTTCTTTATTCCTGAAAACCAGCAAGAATACGCATCAAACCATCATGGAAATGTATAGTTAGAGCCATCATGAACCAAGGTTAATCATCTATTGATTGGTCTATGAGAATTAAAATTCTCTTGAGGGTCAACCATCATAGTGTATTAAAGCAGCATTTTCCATCATGGAGCGATGGAAGTTTGTAGGCATATCAGAAACCATGAAAGCATAATTGAAAATTATGCTGACCATCAAATGATGTTGGTCCACTGAAACCAATATAAACCAAATTTTTTTAATGGGACCATCAAAAATTTTAACTTGGGGGTAGTTACGCCTCAGCTCCTAATAAAGCAGCCGTAAGGAGCTTTTGTATGTTTTAAGCATATTTATTTAATTTTTTTAAAGAGTTTATTTATTGGTTGGAATAATAGTTGAATCAGATTTAATTGGTAAATCGAACCGATTTTACCTTGAGGTCACGTCCGGGCAAGTCCTCCACGAGTTGCCTCGCCAAGTCTTTGCAGCGAGTAGCGTTTTTAGGCATTTTGGTGTCACTCTCCCAATCCCTGTGGGGACTGTGACCATAGAGGGCAGCTGGAGTGGCGTGAGTGACTCGTGTGGTAGTCACCAGTCCCGTGTCTTTACCTGGAAAAAAACTTTTTATGAGCTTTTAATTGTCATGCTACACTTATCTATTATTATAAATTGCGCCTCTTTTAACTTCAGAATAATTTGTTCTATCGTCCTGAAATTTAATCAGCGATGGAAAGCAAAAATCTGGCCCCCGATCCTAAATGCTATTCGAAATTTTCAATTAAAAAGCCGTATGAGCAGTTCGAAAAATGCAATTTTCTGCATTGTTCTATCTAGATCCATTTGTTCTATTGTCCTGAAATTAAGTCAGCGACGGAAAGCGAAAATCTAGCCCACGAATCCAAAATACTATTCGAAATTTTCAATTCGAAAGCCGTGAGAGCCGTTCAAAAAATTGAATTTTCTGATTTGTGAAATTTCCTGATTGCCATTGTTCTATCATTATTACAACTATAGATGATTCTTTTTTTCCAAATATTTTTAAGATCTATACATTGAGCAAATCTATACATTGAGCAAAAAAAAGAGCTTATATTACGTTTTCAATCTATATTTCACTCACCATAGACTCAGGTATCTATTTCATACTATCGATTAGAAACACTATAGTTATTACACTTTGTTAAGCTGCTTTAAGTAATAATTCAGTTATTGTTAAAAAATTAATTTCACATATTTATTTATTTGTTTGTGTATTTGATTAGATTCACTTTGTAAGTAATAATTTAGGTAGTGTTGTATAGTTATTAATATGTTAAGTACTTATTTAGAATAATATTGTATTTTTAGAGAAAGAAAAATTTAGTTACAAATAGATTTATTTTCGATCAAATTGGCTTTTGAAATTTTAAACACAAACTGTGCTATGGTGCTACACTCTGTCAAATCAATTATTAATGACGGAGTCAAAAATATCGAGATAACATGGAAAAAGTAACAAAGATTTTTAAAGGAAAAGAAAAAAATATTCAAAAATTTAAAAGTTTAGAAAGTTTTAAATAAGAATACGAGAGAGTTTGCAACAGTTTCTGATGTGAGCCAAAAAACTGTGAAAGCTTAGGCATTTTTTCAGTTTTTGCCTTATAACATTTAAATGACGCATTTGAGCCGTGGTGGTTCAGGGGGTAAAGCGTTCGCCTTCCAATGAGGTGAACCGGGTACGAATCCCAGTGATGGCTGGTTGACACTAATTCCGCACCCAGCTCACACCGGCTACTGTGCTGATGCAAAATATCCTCAGTGGTATACGGATGATGTGTTAGAGTCCCCTTGCCGTCAGGCTCACCGTAGAAGATTTTCCTGGCTTTCCTCTCCATGTAACGCAAATGTGGGTTAGTTGCATCCAAAAGTCTTCCGCGAAGGCAAAATATCTCATAATACTTGATCCTAGGAGTTCCTTTGTCTTCTGTATTGCTTTTAAAATGACAAGGCTTCGAAGTTGAACATTAGTGGTCGTAAACCCAAAAGATTGGGTCAACTGTCCAACGACGATTATAAAATGGTTAATTTTAGAACTATTGTAGGCCTCCTATTAAGCCAATAATTATTTCCCCTGGTGGGGTACACTAGTACCCAGTAATATAATGCATGGTCCAGTTTGAATGTTATGGATCAATATTAAGGGGAGATATAGGCACATGTTGTATTACTTCGAATATTGACTTCGAATTTCTTCATTTTAGCGCTATTCAACACGCTTTTATATACCTTTCTATAGGGCAACACTGTGGGGCCCTCTAATATGCCTATAATTATTTCCTCTGGTAGGTTACACTAGTACCCGGTAATATAATACATTGGTTGCGATTAAGAATGCATTATATATTATATTAAGAATATATGTGTGTGTTAGCTTATGTTTAAGAACATACGAAAAAGTTTATTATTTTCTGATCATTACTAGCAAAATAGGGTTATTCCTTATGTGGTTAAATAGAAGGAAAAAAAAGAGCCATTAAGGGATTAAGAACATAAAAGGGCAAAAAACAACAGTTCTTTCATACTGAAGTGAAACTATTAATTCTCACCTGCTTCCTGTGCCCAAGTGAGAATGGAGGGGAGCTCATTCCCGATGGAGGAATCGCAGTTGTTGATTTTGGCCCTGGCCGAAACACCAATTGCTCCAGAGTTAGTTTTGGTCCCCGTAAATAGAGCCGTTGCGGTAGATGCCGAATCGGGAACCTGATGGCTCACACTGTACGTCTATAAAAAAGAGAATTCAATGTCATCGAAGAAATGATTAGTTTATTTTTCAACGCAAATAAATCTCAAAGTTGCAAAAAAAATTTAACATATTTATGAAAATTTGCTGAAATAATCCCATCCTTTTTAATGCTTTAAAAAACCTAAAGGATACTACAGTATAAGTTTTTCAATACTTATATTACCTAGAGCAGTGTTCCCCAACCCCCGGTCGGCGGATCAAATGGCACCGGGGCTCCTATTTCATTGAAACTGAATTTAAATTCCTAGGTTTTCACCCCAAATTAAAAATATCTGTGTTCCATTAAAATTTCAGCAGTAACAGCAACCAAAACAAAGCAACGGAATAAACAACACATTTCGTGTGTCATTGTTTCCGATTAACCCCAGATGGAACCGTCTCATTGCAAAGAAACAATTTCAGGATTCTCATTGACTTAACGTTCAAATAAGTTAAAATGTTAAATCACTTTATATTTATTTTTTTGGTGTATAACAGTATTTTATTTTGAAGGCATGTTTAAATACAATTAAATTAAAATTAGTAAATTAAAATAATCAAAAATATAAACAATCAACGTCCCTCCCCCTCCAGCGGGTCACAGTGAAATTATCAAACGTTGACAGGTCCGCGGTGATAAAAAGGTTGGGGNACTTATATTACCTAGAGCAGTGTTCCCCAATCCCCAGTCGGCGGATCAAATGGCACCGGGGCTCCTATTTCATTGAAACTGAATTTAAATTCCTAGGTTTTCACCCCAAATTAAAAATATCTGTGTTCCATTAAAATTTCAGCAGTAACAGCAACCAAAACAAAGCAACGGAATAAACTGGACATAATCAACACATTTCGTGTGTCATTGTTTTCGATTACCCCCAGATGGAACCGTCTCATTGCAAAGAAACAATTTCAGGATTCTCATTGACTTAACGCTCAAATAAGTTAAAACGTTAAATCACTTTATATTTATTTTTTGGTGTATAACAGTATTTTATTTTGAAGACATGTTTAAATGCAATTAAATTTAAATTAATAAATTAAAATAATCTAAAATATAAACAACAAACCCCCTCCATCGGGCCGCGGTAAAATTATCAAACGTTTGCATTTCCGCGGTGATAAAAAGGTTGGGGAACACTAGCTTGGAGGATACAAAACTTCAAAATCATCTTAGCTTAAAAATAGGGATTTAAAATAGTGTTGCAGAGTAGTTTTGAAACTATTTAAAACATTTCACAATCAAGGATAAAGTGTGCTTTCTTAATAGAAGGATTTGTTGTAGTTTGTACAAAGTTGCACAGTTCATGAAGTATTGTTCCAACATTTAACATATATTTTTAACTTTTGATATCTAATGTGTGTGATCAGATTAAGGATTTTTTTCGCATTAAATATCTTTTAGATTTTAAGGCACATTTTATTAGGTCTGGTTAGAGATTACTGTTAGAGATTACTGCAGTTTTAAAAAAAATCTTGAATCCTGATTTGCTTTACCAAATTTTGTTTTAGTCTTACTTTTGCTACAACCCATTTGGTTGACAACAGCAACAAGAATAAATAATTAAAATGCATTTACAACATTAGAAACCAGAAAGTTCCTGAAATGTTGCCGAGCAACTGATCCACATCAATTTAGATTAAGAAAGTTAAATATAAAATACTCTCGATATCTCAAAGTTAAAGGGACGCTAAAAAAATTTCGAGATAGCGATTTTTCGAGATAAAATTCAGAACTAAATATGTTCTAAAAAGTAAAACAAAATTATATATATTTTTTTAAAATACTCTAAAAAGTAGAATCAAGAAACATAAGAATAATTACTATTAAATATGAATGGAATAATAGTTGACTACAAGTCTAACTATAACAATGATAATTTTACTTTTAAAAGTAAGACAAAACAATAATGCATTAAATAGAAAAGAATTAGTTTAAAAAGAGCTTATATTGTGATTTTTCCGAAAAATTTAATTTTATATTTAAAAAAAAGTGACATAGAAAAGTTTTGAGAATAAAACCTTCGACATAGGAATTCAAACTAACGTTAGGTGGATACATAATGCCATGAGGAAAAATATATTTTTGACATAACAAGGCTTTCGAGTTATCGAAGTTCGATATAACGAGAGTACACTGTATATGAATATCTATTACAATACTTTGTTCATCACAAGCAAAAAGAATACGATTGAAGAAAAAGAAGACATTCGGAAATGCATTTTATCGAATTTGAATATTCATTTTCTTACTTTTGAGAGGGCCACGTAGGGGAATTTTTCAAAGCTCAGTTGACTATCTTCCCCTGGACGATCTTCTTTCTGACCCTGAAACACCCTGGAGGCCATAACGGTGCTCACTCCCATGCCATCTCCCACAAAGATGATTATATTCTTCGCCACCCTCATATTCGGATAGATCCTCAATGAATCCTGGAGATCTGCTTGTCCCATCTCGAACCAGAAAGTAGGAGATTCCTCTGCAAAATAACAACAAAATCAATATAGATGGTTTTATAACCGTCGTTGAACGGCCGACCCAATTTTTTTGGGTTTACGACTACTAATGTTCAACTCCGTAGCCATGAAATTTTGAACCCAATCGAGAAGAGAAGGAAACTCCTGGATCAGAGGTATTGATTTGTTATGGGATAATGGAGCACTTTGTGACTAGACAAATTTAACGTGCATCAGTCACCATTTACTACACGGGGAGTCTTCGGCCGGCTGGGATGGAACCCATGGCCGACTGGGAACCCATGAACTCTTTGACATGGGTCCAACCGATCAGGCTATTCCTGCCAGACAGTGTAAAGCTAAGCACAGATGGCGCTAGGGTTTTAAAATGCACCGTAGGATTTTCGAAATACTACTTTCTACTGTTTTTTATGCCTAAGCTTGAAAAAATATACTGCTCAATATTATTATACTCGTAGTGTTTTGAATGTAACACTCTTTCAATTTGACTTTCAACGAAACAAGCAGCAACAAATGAAGACTGCGGAAGCTTACTATGATGCTACTCAAACAATAGCAAAATGATGCTGTATTACACAAATATAGCCAAATAAGGGATAACACTCAAAACATGGCTAACCTTGAACTTCATTTATGCTGTGATATTAATTTTGTTCAATTTGATTTAGGCTCGTGTCCTGTTAGAATTTATAAACTCCAGAAAATTCTTATGAATGTTAAAATGACGCGCAAATTTAAACATAAATCCCAATGATAAAACTTCCTGGAATATTAAGCCTGTTCACATATCGCCTCGTAAGCCTAACATAAGCGGAGGGATACACCGGAAGTTTTCTTAATTTCTTCTGATTTTAGGAAGCTTGTTATTGTTCATATTCAGTCAATCAACGATAGGATGAAATAAATCATTTTGTTAAAACCTATAGATGGCGTTTTCGGCACTAGGGAGCGCTGCAAACTCTTGACTGCCTATACTTCCGGGTTACCGTTTTCGGTGTGTTTTGAAGCCAACGTCGTCATTGTGTTTTGAGACTCTCTTGAGTAGCATTTCTTGTATACGGGTATTTGTTACTCGATTTATTATTTGTGTTTAAAAGAACAATCGTTATAAGAATCGTCATTTGAAGAGCTGTCATTTCAAAACGTAAGAATCGTCATTTGAAGAACTCTCATTTCAAGACGTAAGAATCGTCATTTGAAGAACTGTCATTTCAAGACGTAAGAATCGTCATTTGAAGAATTCTCATTTCAAAACACTAAGAATCGTCATTTGAAGAACTCTCATTTCAAGACGTGAGAATCGTCATTTGAAGAATTCTCATTTCAAGACGTGAGAACCGTCATTTGAAGAACTCTCATTTCAAGACGTAAGAATCGTCATTTGAAAAAAATAATTGTTATAAAACACGTCTTACCTTGTTAACAATATACAAACTTGGAAATTTTATTTGTATAACGAACTTAATCTCGCTGCTCAAAGAATATGCTAACACTAACGTATGATGGTGCCCGACTTGCAACAAGAGCAAACAGTAATAAACAAGTATTTTTATTATACTTATAATTTATATATTAAAGATTTTTAAACTTTCTACACATTAATCTTTTAAATTACTTGTAAGGGTTTATTTATACAAGGTTATTTATATTGCTTGTAAATAACCTTGAATAATCGTAATAACAGTAACAATAACTCGTTATTGAATACGGGATAATTTAGCAATGAAGTAACAGGGCAGGATTGTTTTTAAAATATTTCATAAATAAAAATTCCACACTCCTAAAATGAAGTTGTCGTTTTAAGTATGCATGTTTCCTGTGATAATCACAATAATACAATGATGCTATCAACAGAAAAAGTATTTGTATAAAACGAAAAAAAAGAGAAAGAAAAATGATTCAATCTGACATAAAACTTAATTGCATAAAAAAAATTATAGTATTCTTAAAATGGGATATAAAGTCTCCGCAAATATTATTGTTCACATATTGTTAAAAAAAAAAAAGAAGAGATATCTTTCTTTTCAACTCTTTACTTCACTATTATTTCGCTATAATCAGCTCATTATGCAGGTTTTAGTCAGCCGGGGAAGAGCTTTAATGACCATTTAATCGATTCAGGAAGCGTAAAACAAATTCCTCTAAAAAAAAAATCAATCAAAGAAACATTTGAATCGGTAATGCGAAAAAAAAAATACTTTCTTTATTACCTCAAAAGAATGATTTCATTAAAAAAATAAATAGTTAAATAAAGACCTCAAATCTACCTCAAGACGAAGGTTTGCGTGCTCCTGCCATGACACCCCTCATTGTTTCCAATCATTAAATTGCAAAGGGATACGGTTCATTGAACTTTGTACCAAGAATATCAATAAAAGTTTTGAAACTTTTTTTATATATATACACGCCATTCTTTTTTTTCTTTCTGTCAAACGCTTTGTTGTCAAATTGAAACGTCATAGTGATATCTTTATTATCTGTACGTTAATAGGCTTCTTAATTTAATGCTGATATTGAGAAATATAAATCTGTTTGCCATGCATTCATCTTTATTGCTACTAAAATAAAGACTTTATATATGTATAAGACGCATTATGAGCAAACGGGACGCAAGATTACAAGCGTGCAACGCTACTCTTTCAATTCCAAGCAGCATCCTTATGGGGCAGTTTGGATTTTGATTGTTGCCTTTCTTTTGCAGGTTTAGAAACTTATGAAATGCATCGTATTCTCAGCACTGATGTTTTATTTAAGGTAAAATGCCGTTGTCCGGTACACACTTGTCCGGTATTCTTTACATTGATGATTTTTAAGTGTATAAGGGTCGTTATCTGGTATTTTCTACATTAATAGTTTTTCAAATCTAAATTTTTTATTTTTTTTTATAACCATCGCTGAACAGCCAACCCAATTTTGGGTTTACGACTACTAATGTTTAACTCCATAGCCTTGTAATTTTGAACCCAATCCAGAAGACAAGGGAACACCTGAATCAAGCATTGGGAGAAATTTGCCTTCGTGGTGGACTTTCTGATGAAACTAACTCGCATATGCGTTACAAGGAGACGAAAACCCCGAAAACCTCTGACGGTTAGCCTGACGGGAAGAGGGACTCTAAATTATGATCCGTCTACCACTGAAGATATGTTTCGTCAGCACCGAGGTCAGTGCGAGCCGGGTGCGGAATTCGAATCAACCGCCCATGGCTAGAAGTCGAACCCGGTTCACGTCATCTGAAGGCGAACGTTTTATACTCTATAACCCGGAGCCACCACGGTTCTTCCATTCTAAATCATGTAAAATTCGTAGAACTAGGAGCTGGAAGGCGGGGAACCCTAGAGAGTTAATCAAGGTAAATAACCATAAAATGCAACCGAAGAACCCAGACTTCATTGACCAGATTTGCAAGTGGCCATTTTAAGTGCCTTACTTTTGAGGGAGGCGGATAGATCTTCCCTGCTTGCAAAATATGCAGTGTTCAACCAGCTTCGCCTGAGCACATTTTAATTTGCTTTGAATTTTCTGAGGTAGATCTTACACCACTTTTTGTTGCTGATTTTCTTGCGGTAAGTGGAGTCTTGGAGCTGATCTGACACATGTCAGATTAAGAGGATAAGCAACAACAATAACAACAACAAAATAATATTTTTAGAATCCAAAGAATGGGAACAATATATTAAATCTTAAAAAAACTGACATTCAGTTTTAAAATTCGCAGGCTTCTACAGTTTTCAAGAGATGATTTCAAAACATGTTACAATGACAGCTTCCACGTTTCATTGTGCTCAAAAAAAAAAAAAAAAATGAAAAAATTACTAATAGCAACTTTCCCAGGTAACACGAATAAAAGTAACATTTAAAAAACGTTTATACATACGGTGCCGATGTTAAAGAACGCACAATTATGTTTTCTTTTTCATTGTTATGACAGTTCATCGACGTTGGTGGTCCATTTGAAATCCCAAAGCTTAACTAATTGCTAATAAGTGACAACATATTTTTTACTTCACATTACTAAGCCGCCTTCTGTGGAATCTAAACGTAAGAAAAGTGAGAATTCGTGTACAAGCAAAATGTCTCACTATATATAATTATGATGTCACAGTTTTCCATTGTTGTTCGTGCGTTTTTATTGGCCGTAAAATCACGTGGTAGGATCCAGTTTTCATTTACATATTGATTTGGTTGTCATCAGCATAAAATTAATAAAAGTCATAAAAGTTATTTTTGTATCCTCAATTGGGTATAATATAGCCTAGGTCACAGGTTGTGTTGTTCTACTAAATTTAACCCATGAACGGAATTTTCTGCGAGCCTAACTTCAAGCCACAAATAAACAAACGAAGTGTTCGATCGTTTAAATAGCTGCTCGCCAGATTTTATTGCATTATAAAGAAAAGTTATTGAAACTAAATACAACTAAATAAACAACAA